ATGATTCCCGGATACTGAACAAACCAAACTATTTATCTTCTAAATGCATCATGATGACATGTATTTTTGAAAGATAACTCATTGAGATAGCTCATTGGAATCGTATGTAAGACGTTTCGGTCTCCTGTAAATGCAGAATCGGTCTTCAAGAAGTTCACGTTGTTCAGGGGCGCCCCCATATACGGACAAATACATTGAATTACGGTTATAACGAATTGACGGATATAACGAACAGTTGGTTTGTTTTGTCCTGGCAGCTTGTTGGATATTTTAGCCGAATGCGCACAACGAACGATGGTTATAACGATCCAGAATAAGTGGTCCCTATTGAGTTCGTTATAACCGTAATGTACTGTGTATTGTTTAGAAAGTGTTGGAGGGAGACGACCAAGATAGTCAGTTTCTCTGATCAACGATTTTTGTATCACTGTCCCCTGATTATGCCGATGAATGTTGACAAAAACAATAATGTGTATACTCCATATTTATTCAAAAGTAACTGAGTAATTCCATTTTTATCGTACTTTGTTGATACAAATGTAACGCATCTGGCTATGTTTCCTCGAGGTTTGGTTTTTCGTTTAACGCCGAACTCCAGCTTTATGGCGACGGTCTGTAAATCCTGAGTAGCTATGATGTGTGTTATTTGAAAAAGTGAACTGTTTTATCGTTCGTATAACTCATAGGGCCATTACAAATATTCTGTTTTTTCCATTAGCCGTTTCATCATATTCATTTCATTAATTTTCAGTTGTCAAAATATAATTACTATAAGATTACATGATTACAGTTAGTTTGGCTTTTATGTTTAACCGTGAAAATTCGGGTTAGAATTGATCTTTAGTAGCCCATGCTAGTCGTAAGAGGCGACTAACGGGGTCTGGCGGTCAGGCTCGCTGACTTGGTTGACACATGTCATCGTATCACAATTACGTAGATTCGATACTCATGATGTTGATCACTGGACTGTCTGGTCGAGACTCTATTATTTACAGACCACCGCCATATAGCTGGAATATTGCTGGGTGCGGCGCTATACAACAAACCAACCAACCAATTCATGTTTATACATTGTAAACATCACAGTTAATTTACTGGTTCCTGGGTATTGTGCAGCTCCTGTCCCCGGGCCTGATGGAGTGACCCCTCCCCGACCACGCCCTTGTCCCGCTTGGGTCAACGAGAACGGGGACTGCTTTCTCGGCGACATGGTCCTGATCAAACAACAGTGCATCGACATGGTGGGCTTGGCTGACTACAACTCTTTCCACAGAGGCAATCCCAGCTTAGTCGACTAACAGTGTTTGGAATATACATGAAACTGGGCAAATGTAATATATGTTATATGTGGATTACACTTTCTTCGTAAAGTACAGATTCTAGTACTTCCGTGGGTTGAGTCCTATCTGGGATTCGATCCCACACTCTCAGTCTGTGCTGGCGATTTGGTCACTCACTTTGAGAGTGTGGGTTCGAATCCCGGATGGGCTTAGAATCTTTACTTGACCGAGAAACTGTAATCCCAAATAAAACATATTTAACATCTATTTAATAGTTTCTTATTTAACATATATTTATTGTTTTTTGTTTATATTAAATACAACTTATTTGACGTTACGATCACAAAATGTTCACCAAAGACGATTAAATGATATATGATTAAAGTACATGTTTATTAGCTTGCATCCAAATATGTTATTCATTATTTTCTGTGAATTAAACGTTTATGAAACAAACTGTTTTTGTCACTTTTATAAAGGTATGATGAAGAGTTTATACTGGTAAACAATATCTATTGTACGTAGTCGCTCATTTTTAAAGAAACTCAACAAATGGAACGCCCATTTCTGGTGTCCTCTGCAATGATATTGCCGGAGTATTGCTAAAACGGCGTGAAACTAACCTCATTCACTCAAGAAATGAAAACTGTCCATGAGGATGTCACACTATTCACTTATTGCCTCCCTTTAAAGAATTACTTCATTCACTGTTTAGCTATACCCGCTCTTTGTAAGGTGAGAGTTTCGTCTCGATACACCCGGCCGTAAGAGCTGAAAGCATGACGTGAAAGCTGACTGTTGTTCGGCCTAACCGTGTTTCAAGTACAAATAGAGGACTTGCATGTATCAATATCTTTGGCTGCTCTGGCAATATGGCGATTGTGTCTGTCTAATTGTGTTATGTCAGACGCTATCAGTACCAATATATGCATTTGGGATACGATAGAGCGCAATGGGCCAAATCACCGATCCGTATTGGGTTACCCGGTGGTGTTGAAACTTCAGCCATGTACAGCCTTTGAATAACGAAACCGCTGCTGGCACGTTATTCGTTATTCGACATACGAGTTACGAAATATGAATCCACTGGGATTTAGGCATCTAATACTTATTTTTCCATGTCTGAATAACAAACCCGGGGCAGGATAGCTTATATCTAACATAAATTTGATATTTGATAGAACTGATTGGTATAGAGTGAATAACGAACCCGCTTTTAGCACATTATTCGAAAAACGAAGAACGAACCCGCTGCTAGTACGTTATTCGTTATTCGAAAAACGAATAACGAACCCGCTGGTAACTTCAGGCTGCTGGAACTGATGGGGACTAATACGTCCTTTTCCTTACTTCTCAAAAATCCTGAATAATGAACATATGCCGGAATATGTGTAACTGACTTCAGCACCTTTTTCTTTTCTTTTTTTTTGGGGGGGTGGGGGGGCGATCGGCTGCTACCTCGTTTGGGGCATTTAAATTCATAATATATCCCCAATTACTTATAAATCAAATACTTCCATCTTCACCTGCGGAGGCCGGCTAATGCCTCTGCACATTAAGCTTTTGTCAGGCCGGCTCGTCCCCTGCAATTGCTTCCATCTCGGGTTGCCAAGGCCGGCCACTGCCCCTGCAACCAATCTTATTAAAATATTAGTAAGTAGCAACCGAACCAGCTCCCAATTATGTGCAAAATAATGATTATGTGTGTATGTACAATAACTGTATTTTTATCTTATTCCGGCCAATATTATGTGTGTATTTACAATAAATGTATTTTCAATTCATTCCTGCCTGTGTTGTTTCTGCACAAAACAGTACCTGTTATGCCACGATGTGTCAACAATGTGTACGAGTACAAGGGGGTATTATTGGAGGACAACACCATTTGCAGCACAATACACCTCAGTGTTCGTGCGAAACCAGCTGAGCTGAAATGTCTGGCCACATTTTCATATAAATATTCGCTAGTGGTCTTATGTGTATTCACAAGCTGCTATGTGAGCTTTGTCGCCATTGTATCTTACCCACATAGAAGGTGTTCATATCAATTCAAAGCGGTTTTTGTAGCTGCAATAAAACGCTTTCATAGCAGAAACATGAATATGTCCTCTAATATGCTATGGCGGGTGAGGTGTCACTTGTTTACAGCCAGTCAAGCAATAACTTGGGAAGCTTATGTGTGTAGACCGATCGCGATAGAGCGACATTCATTGGTGACTTTGTCTAGAAGCCTTTGAATGAAAGAAAACAAATAATGCATATTGACAGTGTTACACTCTGCCTTTCATTGTCAAGCTGTGGACTGTAAACCTGAAGCACAAGACAAAAGAAAAGTTGAATTGTTTGTGGGTAGATTTATGTAAATCCTTGGTCAAATGGTTTGTTTGATATTGCATATCTGCTTATGAATGAGTATGGTTTTAAGCTGTTTTAAGGTTGATTGTAACTATACGAAAGAGGAATCAAAAGACGTTTCACACATGTTCCCATATGTAGAATCGACCCCCGACAAACAAACGCTTTAAACATTATGCTACATCATCGCAACTTCAATTAACTTTCCGTCACGATATGGCTGCAATATTGCCGATGTGACGTTAAATATTAACTCACTCACTCAATTAACTTTCAATTCATATTCAAGGAACAGATTATTTGTTAAATATTCTAAAACTGATGCTGTTATGTAATTACACCGGATGGGACTAAAATACAAGTTACAAGTATATACGTAACGGCAATTCCCCTTCGCATTTGGGCGGTGGGGTAGCCTAGTGGTTACAGCGTTCCCCCGTCACTAGTTTAATTCCCCACTAGAGTGCAATGGATGAAGCCCATTTCTGGTGTTTGCCGCCATGATATTGCTGGAATATTGTGAAACGAAACATACAACCATACTCACTCTTTCATATCTTGGCCTCATTTTAAAAACTCTGAAGCACAATCAGTGATTGATCGTTTGATTAGCACTATGTTCGGCACTGTTACTAATACTGTTCCATATTGCTCAGCTTAAGACGGGTACCGTTGACCCGATGGTCAAATAGCTTAGTCATGTCAAAATGTTCGAATCCTGAAAAGTTATTGGTTTATCAACAACCGTTCCCGAGCTCGAGGATTGCTCAAGGGGCAATCATATACAGCCTTTCACTTTCACTTTCACTTTCATTTTCACTCTCACTTTCACTTACTCGATTAGCTGGCATGTTATCATCCAACTGAAATATTTGTAAAGCGGCGTATAAATCAATCCAGTCACTCACATCAACCTGCTGGGTGTAGTACTATTGGTATTAGTGCTTAAAGGTATCCCTGGTCATTTGATGCAATACCATTCATACCGATACACATGTTAACGCCTATCAAAATGCTTTTCACACTCATTTGTATATATTCTGCGTGGGAAAGCATAAATGCAAAGTTCTGTCATAAAATGAATCAAGCTAAGTTGAACTTGATTGAATACGGGTACCAGAAGTCTCCATATCAATGTCCAACGCACTTTGATAAAGCTCAATAAACCGTAAAATAGCCCAGACACTAATACCGTCGTAAACCCGTTTGAAAATAGAATTTAGCATATTCATTGAATCCTGTGACGTGTTCTGTATTCAGTACACTCCTAACGCGCACGGCTATGTATGAATAGGGCGGTGACAGGGGTGTATGCTACCTCCTATTCATTTCTGCATACGTTTCTACCATACGAAGAAGGTTGTGCTGTACATGAACATGGAAACTGGTTCAGTAGGGTTAAACCACTACGCAATATGCAAACTCTTTTTCGGTGACCAGCGTGATTATCACTAGTTGTATTATCTGAGATGTATCTATACCAGCTCAACATGTGATTCTTGGTGCTATTTAGGATGGATGTATTCAATTCAATGATTCTCAGGAGTGTTTGTCTCGTCGTGGTGTTGTGGTCGTTCGGTACATCAGGTACGTGTTGTAAGCCCTCACTACAGATTTGTGTACATCCATGTACAGCCTTGTCATGTGGTAAAGTGTGCAGGGGTTCGTTATGTGCATGATATTTTCTAACTAACTTTTTCTAACTTACGGAAAATCTACACGTCGTACTTATGACGTTTTGCACCTTTAAACATTTTATTTGTTTTGCTTATATTGAATGCTTTATATGTTTCTGTATCCTAAACAATAAGACAGTCATACTATCTGTTGGCAGTTGTGTCTTGTCTTACATAAATTTATATCTGTAATGGAGCACTGTCGAGAATCACATCGAAAGAAAACAAGACCGGTTTGATGACTAATATACATGTATTACGGTAAATATGACGACGACCGTTAGTCGTAGTTGTATGATATCAACACAATCATTCATTCTTAGCATGTAAAAATCACGAACGATAAATCGAAATGTAGTACAGCAATTTTCAGGGTGGCCCAATTTCCCCCCGACAACAGATACTACGTATTGTTATAGACTATTTCTCACTGACATCATTAAGGTTGTTGATCATTTTGTTTTCATATGTGACTGCTTTATAACATAGACACAGATACAAATACACAAAATGATTCTCAAATTGTTTGCTTAAACAATAATGCGTCTATGCAATATTCGGCACAAAAGCACTGAGGCCATGGTCAGTCTGCACTGAAACAACGCCATATCCATACAGAATACATCAACAGCAATACTTTCCAACCGTATACATTATTCCAAGTGGTTCTACTTCTTTTATTCGCCTATTGGCCCATTTACACACTGACATAGAATATCAAGCTTGATTGTTTACTAGAGAACATTCTTCATAGTTTATAACATCTAAAGAAAATATTTGATATATAGCATATGTGTACGAGCTGAACTGATTCGTCATGTGTATAGGGTAATTTATTCCTGGTTTCAATCCACACCCTAGCTCCGTGTCACGTTACCCTGTTGTACGTAAGTAAGTATTCACAATTTCACTGACCTCGACAATGCTGTAAGATGTATCTACATAAGAAAACATGGGTAACAATTAGGAATGAATATGAAGGTGAAGAAATGGGTGACCTCTCTCCTTCGGCGCACGGTGAGCCGATATATAGACTTTGGTTGGACATTGTATTGTAACGTTGATCGTGGTATGGGAAACGTTGGTGGTATTCAATGCTGTACATAGCTATCAAACACGCTCCGCTAGTTTATGTATCACGTTATGTAAATGTGATGTGCACAGGATTTTGTGAGAGGTCATGGTTTCTTTCATTGGTAGTAATCTCACGTTCTTTTGACGAAACCCCAATATATTCATAACTTCGGGCATTCTTTTATATACTTCCGACTCTGTTCGAATTATAGCAAATAGTCAAATTTATTTGATGGACTTATATTGATGCATATGACTATTTAATTAGCAGTATATTTTATATTAATTTTGTTGATGTGTTTGTAATGTCTCGTAAGATGTACGAATACATAGCAGCAGTGTGCAACATAGTTTCCAAAGTTTGTTAGCCAGAGGGGCTAGCTATGCCAAATTATTCACTGGCCCGAAATGTGAATGTAGACATCATAAAGCTGCTAATATGATGAACAGCTTTATCAGGCCATAATCTTGCATTTAAAAGTGTATTATAACTTAACAAGTCGGAGAGGGGGATATACATGCATTTACAAAATGACCCCATGAAAATGTAAGCTGTATAGAATATAAAGTCGGGCCAGTGACTGTGGAGATTTACTGGCCCGACTGGATTTATACTAGCCACGGGATAGTGGGCCAGTGGCTATTTCGAACACTGCATAGCTAAACACGCTCCTCTAGTTTATGTATCATGGAATATGCATAGAATTTTGTGAAAGGTCATGGATTCTTTCATTGGTCATAATCTCACGTTCTAGTGAAGGAGTGAGATTGATTGACGTGTGCAATATTTATTAACGTAAAACAGGAAGACCAGGTATTGTATATGTTGGTGATTCATTTCTTTCAGAGATATCACACGAAAGAGGAAAGGGTTATTGTCGTCTCTATTTTTAGAAACATCATCATTAGACGTACTTCAACTTGTTTATTGTGCAGGTTGATGGCATAAACGACAGTTAGCTAATTTGAGTAGGTCCTGTGTAGATACATAAAACAGATGTTACGTTGTTCACCACAGCCAGTTAGTTCAAGGATCATTACAATCTCTCCATGGTGATACAGAGTCTCCCCCATGTAGCCTCAGAACAGTACCCTTAGTTACAAGAAATGAATGTAGGTATATGTGTGCGTGCGCGCGCGCATGTGTACGTATGTGTGTACGTGCGTGTGTACGTACGTAACGTGTGAATATATGCATGAAAATGTCAGTCAATCTGCCTCTCTCTCTTTCAAATTTGTAATTTAAATTGGTATCCTCAACAAATTTACACTACTTTTGACAAAAAATCCATTCATAATTAAAATTATTCTTTTTTATAATTCTGACTTTGTTCACCTTTCAGCAAATAGTCAAACATGTTTAATATATACATGGTGATGCATATAAATATTTAGTCAACAAGGTAGTATATATTTATTGCGCTGCAGTGAGTTTTCAGCGTCTTGTAAGTGTACGAAAAGTGTAAGGATTATTTTGCCTGTAAATGGACCCATGTGCAAAAATGATCTTGATTTATGAAATAATATCCAGTTTAAAACAACGTTTCATTTAAATATATGGCTAACCTGTGTTTACCTATTATGTAGCTACTGCAGGACAGTCAAACAATTGGAGGACGAACTGTATTTGAAAACTATTGTAGGCCTACCGTTCAATATTCACACTGTTGGAGGCTTGCATGTCAATTGCGCAAGACCAACCCTCAACAAATATTCATATGACTTCGTTATTAGCCAAGATATGGTTGGATGTCAGTTTTGAAACCATCGTAATACATGTTATATCATGTACTTCAAATGACAATTAAATAAACTATTTCTGCCTGTCTCTGTAATCTATTTTACTTTATCTCCACATATGTTGGGCGAATTGCATTAATTCAAAGGCGATTTACCCCTGTTACACAAGTATTATTCATAATTTGAAATCGCTTTACAAGCTGCATTATATGTATGAACTATTCTGCTTGCATAATTCTGGTGTATGGATTTGTATTCTTTGTAAAAGGAAAGTTATGGGTAGAATCAATGGATAGAACTAAATATATAATTATGACCACCCTATACCCACATGGTATTGTAGTTGATGTTATACCATAATGTTAACTGTAGTAAAGTGAAAGAATCGGGTATTCCTTAACTATTCTGAGTATTATATATACGTCAGCATGTAATGATACAAAATAAGTAAGGTATATCCTACCTCTTATTGTCAGAACCGATGAAGATCCGGAATTGGTCTTCAGGAACCCATGCTTGTCGTAAGAGGCGACTTGGGTGGTCAGGCTCGCTGACTTGGTTGACACATGTCATCGTATCTCAATTGCGTAGATCGTTGCTCATGATGTCCATCACTGGATTGTCTGGTCCAATCTTGATTATTTAACATTACTGAGTACGGGGTTAAACAACAAACAAAATAAAGCAAGTTATTGTCAGGAGTAAACAAAGTAAACCAAAAATAATGAAAAACCACAGAAAACAGAGGGTCCGAGAGAATCACAACGGTTCCAACTGATAACCCTGCATAGCCTCCCTGGTTTTGTTTCAGTGCCTGACATTATGTTCTATAATGTTTTTTAATCTTTTGTTTGTTTTTATCGCATGAGACACTCGACGTTTAGTTCCAAAACTATGTATTCAAAATTATATATTGTAACTGCATTGTTATAGACCCAGGGCTAACCCACAGGTGACGCCGAACAAGTAGGCACCCAATGAATGAGCGAAATTCTACTTGAAGCACGCTGACATATATTTGCATAATGCAGAACGTCTATTCAAAATTAAGGACCAATCATTATCACTACGCTTTTGTAGTTAAAAGTACAGACAAATACTTGTGCACAAGGTAAAAAATGGCTGATCTCATTCTGTTAAAAATGTAATAAACAACTTTACAAACTGATCTTAAATCTGTTTTGGAATTTATTTTCCTAAGATTAAATTGCTGAAGTCACACAGTGCTGCAATGTCAAGAAAGCTGCGACTTTGCCGTAAACTATTCCCAACATGTCGTAAATTGTTTGACATATTATAAAGCCATATCTCTGAGCATTTGACATTTAGCCCGTGATTTTTTAATGCACCACGACATATATAACACATCAAACATAGTCGTTAAATGACCCCTGATGCGCGATGTTTAAGTAACACACTGGCTACTGTTTTGCCAGCCTTGTTCATTGTGTACCAATGTTCCAAGTGTAACGCATTGCATACGAGGGTCGGTCAAAATGTAGTTAGCCTAACTATATTCTCGATGTCCAATGGTTGAAAAGCTTCCATTTTATTTTGAAGGAATTATAAGCAAAGCCATATCCAAAATTTCACATATGTGGGTAATGCGGTTAACGAGATATTAGTCATTAGGGTATAATATTTCTAAACAAATTGAAAATGAAAAACGATCTGTCATTTGGTACCTCTTGGATAATGGTATGCAATCAGTTAATATCATTAATATATGTTCAGTATAGTAAAGACGTATATTTAGACGGGGGCTGTTTTTTAAAGACACTCCCATTTTAATCTTTCAAAAACATTGTGTCTTGATATTCAAGCTGGGCCTGTTTACAATATATTGCGAGCTGACTCTTGTGTTACCATTCAGTATTTAGTTTGAGCCCTTGGCATCATGTATGAATAAGCGAAAACATTAGTTCGTTATAACCGGAGTTTCCTGCATCGCCTTTTTACGGCCTTTGATAACAGCAGAGCCCATTGTACGTTTCCGATAGTGAGCGAGTGAGTTAAGTTTTACGCCGCACTCAGCAATATCACAGCTACATGGCGAGTAAATAATCGAGTCTGGACCAGACAATCCAGCGATCAACAGCATGAGCATCGATCTACGCAATTGGGAACCGATGACATGTGTCAACCAAGCCAGCGAGCCTGACCACCCGATCCCGTTAGCCGCCTCTTACGACAAACATGGGTTAAAAAATATCAATTCCACCCCGGATCCTCACGGGTCTTTTCCGATAGGAAATACTGGGAACTAAAATGCGGTTCATTTTTGTCACTGATGTGTCTAATTTGGAAATATCCTCCACACCGTAAAAAACAAAACATTGTAAAACCACATTATCGGAAATCCGAGAACACTTGTTAACGAATTTGCTTCAGTTTCTCTGTTTTGTTCCAGCTCAGGACACATGCCATTGCTTGAACCCAACCCAGTGTGCCAACTTCCGGGAACAAGGATGTTCCCCATGTCAGTCTCCATGGTGGGGGCCCTACTGTCAAGCACGTAAGTTGAAGATGCATAGCGTTATTTATCATTTAACTGAAGCATTTATCCTAACATAAGCTCAGGACATGAATACATGTACCGTATGTCATACCCCTGTGACATAAGTATGCAAATAACATATGCAAATTAGATAACCGGAAGTAGAACCTTTTTCGCCTGAGAGTACCGTTTGATTCGAAAGTGGAATTATTTAATTTATCAGGGAACTTATACCAGAGATTTAATCAAATGACACAGAATCATAGCTGTTACCGTTACTAAAGTTTAAATATTTACGTAAGATGTAAATTTTGATGCATTATTTCTTAAAAAGGAAGCAGTAATGTGAAAATTATCATACAATTCATCCCTCGTGAATTTGTTAATCTGGGAAATATCCAACGAGTCTTGGTTAATCAGTATTTGCTGATGTATACTATACAGATGAATTCTCCACATACTTGGCTCGTTTTATACCAATATCCGAATCTATGTAATGTCGATATGGTGAGTGACTGAGTTTAGTTTTACGCCGCTTTTGGCAATATTCCAGCAATATCAGGCGGGGGACACCAGAAATGGGCTTCACACATTGTACCCATGTGGGGATTCGAACGCGGGTCATCGGCTTGACGAGCGAACGCTTTAACCACTAGGCTACCCCACCGCCCCATGTCGAGATATAGAGGGTCAGCCGATAACAATCTAACCATAATTCCAACTCTGTGTATCCGGGACAGTAAACTACAGTAATCTACAGTAAACTATGTTTACAACGAAGACGATTATAACAATTTGACGGATATAACGAATTTTTGTCCTGAAATGCGTACAACAAACTACGGTTAGAACGAACTAAACTTAGAGGTCCCTTCAGTTCGTTATAACCGAAGTTTACTCTATATCCCCATCGTATTTGTAAATACCCAAAGTACATTCACTGTAGTATATCGGTGACCCGTGAAGGTCCGGGTCAGAATATTGATCTTCAGTAACCCATGTTTGTCGTAAGAGGCGACTAATGGGATCGGGTGGTCAGGCTCGCTGGCTTGGTTGACACATGTCATCGGTTCCCAATTGCGCAGATCGATGCTCATGCTGTTGATCACTGGATTGTCTGGTCCAGACTCGATTATTTACAGACCGCCGCCATATAGCTGGAATATTGCTGAGTGTGGCGTAAAATTAAACTCACTCGATCATTCGAACCAGAGTAACTAAAATAGGATTCCGCATTAACCGCTGAGTGAAGTATATTCTGTGACGTCACGTCTGTAGCATGACTAATCAGGCGAATGGGTCAACAGTGTATAACAGAATGGTGGTGTGATGCCCTGGATTATTTCGGATGCAATCAATAAGACCCATTTCCATCGGTTATCTCGTCCAATCGAAACCAACATAGATGTTTTTAGTACCTACACCGAACATATTTTTTGTGTTAAAATATTTTAGCAAGTATACTTTAAAACAAAATGCACAAACATAAGGCTACGAAGAAAAACTCTAAATAGTATTTGATAGTCTTATGATGTGCGTTTTCGTAATAAAAATGATTTGACAGACATGATTACCAACATATTAGCAAATGTGAGGAGTATACACGTCAATGTCAGCTGGTGTAATTTCCTAGGTATGGTGTATTTGATTGAGAAGATTAAAACTGATAGCCCTAAAGTACTGTCGGTCCGCCCGGAGAGCGGAAGGTCGCGGGTTCGATCCCCGGCCGAGTCATACCAAAAGACGTTAACATATGGTACTTGTTGGTCCCTGCCTGGCGCTCGACAAGGACTGGTCGGCTCGGAGTCAGTATAATGTGTCTGAGTGGGGTATTCATGCTTCACTGCGGCATGGTATCTCAGTGGGCTAGCACTATAAAACCAGCTTCAGTCTGGGCTAGTACAAGCAGCCGCACATACACAAACACACGCATGCACGTCGTCATATGAGCGAAATATTCTCAAGCACGACGTTAAACCCAATTTCACCTCACCTCACCTAAAGTACTGTCGGAAATAGAAAAAAAACCCTGGGTTTTTTCACATTTATATCCACGATTTATTCAGGTATTATGTGAAAGTGTGAAATATCTGTTAAACCAAGTTCGGTCTAACTACAGTCTCAGTGGTAAGGAGATAGGAAACGTTAAAAAAGAACTTTACTGAGGAGAGATTAGTGCAGAAATGAGCAATGTGTTGTCCAAGTCGACTTATTTGGAACAGACCTTGGCTTTATGCAAATTAGTGTGCGATGATATTGTATTACAAAGGACACTTTTTAAATTCCCATTTTGAAATTAGACTTCGCTTCATTAGAAACGATAGCTGAACGTACAAAATAATATTTTTAACTGTGAAACTCTTAAGGATGTAGCTGCCATGGAGTCTCACAACCACTATCAAAACAAACAGACACGGGGGTCGTCTCAAAGCAAAACCAGGTCGGGTGTCGCAGAAGGTGGTTGGGGTCGGGCTCGGGGATAGAGATATCAGCTAAGATAAGATAATTATTTCGGGGAATTAAGCTGGGCAAGTAACATTTTACAAATAATATCAAGTCCGGTCGATCTTCGGGTTGCCATGCTACCTATATATTTTGAGACATTTAATACGATGACTGATTTAAGTCTTTCTATATAGGTATCATACTATTTTACATATCTCAACATTCACTTTATGAAAGAAAGACACGTTAGATGTTAATCAACATGTGAGACATATTCAACACACAAGAAAACGCATATATTTAATATCTTTGAGATGACCCCTTGTGCCTGTAGGCAGCACGTGCATTCCATGCTAGGTGTGTCGACGTTGCGTCATCATACCTGGCTCAGGGACCTAATTGTCATCTATAGTCTGATCTATTGTTATAAACAGCTATTAGTATTTTGCCCGATTTTTCGAGTAAACATGCTTGTTTTGATATCCTATTACGCATCCCACTGAACGCCCAGTTTGGCCGATGTGGGTTATTTGGACATATGCTATTTGCAATTGTGTAAATTTTAGGGATACAGAGCAACAGCCAAAGAAATTTTTTCTATTTCCGACAGTACTTTAATACCTTCATTTTTAAGTTGTTCACAGAGCCATAGATAATTTATGTGGAACCACAAAACCGTGATATGTCTGTTAATTCCGTTGTACAAATGATCGCATCCATCAATCGTTTCAATCATGATTTTATTGGAATTTATATTCCCAAAGATGATTTATTGAAACTGCAATACGATAGCATGTCTACTGATTCCTTTGTAATGCAATTATCTCGTTCATTGAGTACTTGAAACAGCCTTAACAGGTAACTGAAAGTAAATAGCATCATTCTGTAACGTTTTGAAATGTGTCCGCAAAATCAGGAAATCCTATATTCATTGATTACATATCCTATGTGCGCTTTAATTATTCAGTCACAAATGATTTGTATTTTGGGCCGGTGGCCTTTATATTGAATAGAACTGTATTTCGACACACTTAATTCATGCAGTATTACGGGTTTATTCGTTAAGCATTACACTTTTTTGTATTACCAGAAAACATAGCTTACTCCCAAGTCACCCAACAGAAAAGCGTGTACGTTGAGTATGATGCACTGGGAAACATCGTCAGTATAGGTAACAGTAACCTCGCAGTAGATGGCAGCAAGACTACGACTGACATAAGGACCTGTGCTCGGACGTTACGATATACTACAGGAACATATTTCACCTTGCGTCTACCTTCGTCACCACGGATCGCTGGCATTCGGGTATATTTCCCTATTATAGGTATGTATGATTCGAGGGGAGTACTTTCCATTTTGTACCAGTGAAGATCCGGGTTAGAATTGGTCTTCAGCAACCCATGTTTGTCTTAAGATCGGGATCGGGTGGTCAGGCACGCTGACTTGGTTGATGCATGTCATCGTATTCCATTGTGAAAATCGACACGCGTGATGTCAATCACTGGATAGTCTGATCCAGACTTGATCTTGTACAGCCGTAGCTGGAACATTGCTGATTGCTGAGTGCGGCGTTAAACACAATGAACAACACAGAAACAAAGAATTTTCCATTTCTCAGTTGTTGTTTTTTTTATTCTGTTTTTTTTTTTTTTTTTTTGGGGTGTCTTTTGTTTTTGATTATTTAGGTTTGTTTGGGTTGTTTTTGGGGGTGGGTTAATGTATCATTTGCATTTTCCTTACATGCGACACAAGTCGAATGGTAGAATGCTGAAGGTTGAGCTACAAGATTACATTACTGACTTTTTCCTTCACCAGGAGATTCCCTAGAAGGTCTTCAGGTCCTTGTGTATGACCATACATGTTACGTTTCTATTGGTAGAATGCTGAGAAGCTACAAGATTACATTACTGACTTTTTTCTTCACCAGGAGATTCCCTAGAAGGTCTTCAGATCCTTGTGGATGGCGATCTGTGTTACGAGTCTACCACAGCGACATTGCCAGTTGACATACCGTGTTCGACAACATTGATAGGGAGTAACATTACTCTGTACCTACCTCGTGAAAGATATCTGTCGGTGTGTGAGATTGAGGTCAACGGTGAGTGGAAACAACACTCCTTTCTGATTATTATCTGAAATACAGTTTGGTTGTACGAATTGATGATTGATTCAATGCGTTTTGGTGATATGGTGCTTGCATCTTGGTACTCGTTCGACAAAGAGTGATCGTAGCGCTTATCGTAACGATTGTCGTAGTGCTACGATCGCTTTGTGGATCCGGGGCCAGGAATTCAAAGCAGAAATTGTCCAACGTACCCGTGTTTGGGAAGAGAGGACATTTAGTTGCATTTTATCCGTCAGTGTTTGAAAAACTTTGGACACCCTTCAGTTGCGATTAGGCATATTTGCATATCATCAGACATTGACGGGTTGAACGATATACTTTTTGAGGTAGGTTTGAATTTTGATGTGATATGAATAAATGTATATGCCACAGAGATTATATGTAATTGTCCGATGCATTTCAAGTTTTGGACAGGTACCCTTTGTTCCCGTGTTTTTTCAGTTGAGCAGTTGACTTGCCTTTGCACGTGTTTGTGACGGTAACGTTTTCGCGAACACGTGGTATAATCACTATTTGAAAGTAATTAGTAAACATGTGCTCATGTTACAGTCGGAATCGTAATATTGCTTTTTATTACCTACGAGGGCGAAACTATCGGGGTTTATATTGTTCATACGATGCCCTAGGGCAACATATCACGTTGTCATGGTGACGTGATGTCACAGCATTGTTTATTCTATGACGATGCGTTGAAAATGCGGCGGTGACGGGTAGCCACCCAATGTTTGAAAGTAGATTTGGGTTAGTTTCCTCAATTTGACGACTTCGGTAATAAATAAAATATTATATTCGTGCCCATATGATACTATGTGTACGACACTCGTGCCTAAATATCGGTATATCCCTCGCTCTTGGTCGGGAAATAGCAACATTTAGGCACTCGTGTCGTAAACACAGTATGACATGGGCACTCATATAATATCCTCTATTAACAGATATTTCTCATGGATGTGGAAAAGGGTTATGTCTGTTTAATTGTTTAGTTTACTGTTTGTATTGTGTTTTCGGTGGCGAATCAACAAAATGCACTCAATATCCCGAATTGACTTCCAGTATGTGGCGATGGCTGGTATGGTGCCCAGTGCGAGAAACGATGCACATGCAAGGAGACTGACCCTATCTGCAACCCCATCAATGGTGCTTGTCCTTCCGGTTGTCCAGATGGCTATGGCGACGTGGACTGCAAAGGTGAAGGGTGACTTCGGTTGACCGAAGACGAAATAGCTTTGATCTATTATATTTGGGTCCATGTAACGCTTAAACACTCAAATTAATTTTCTCACCCTATACACACACACATGTATTATATGGTGTTATACTTAATCGGTTCGTGACAAGAATGTTATTGCGTAAACACATAGAATTTTGTGACTGTAACTGAGGAGTACGATCGATTGGTTAATGACAAGTTAATGACAATTATCATATGGTAACTGAATTTATAGAACTAGGATGGGTTGAACACGAGTTAGTGACAATTATCATATGGTAAATGTGAAGATAAAGCACCAAGACGGGTTGAATACGAGGTAGTGACAATTATCATATGGTAAATGTGAAGATAAAGCACCAAGACGGGTTGAATACGAGGTAGTGACAATTATCATATGGTAACTGTGGAGGTAAAGCACCAGTGAATACGAGGTAGTGACAAATATCATATGGTAAATGTGAAGATAAAGCACCAAGACGGGTTGAATACGAGGTAGTGACAATTATCATATGGTAACTGTGAAGGTAAAGCACCAAGACGGGTTGAATACGAGGTAGTGACAGTTATCAGATGGTAAATGTGAAGATAAAGCACCAAGACGGGTTGAATACGAGGTAGTGACAATTAACATATGGTAACTGTGGAGGTAAAGCACCAAGACGGGTTGAATACGAAGTAGTGACAATTATCATATGGTAAATGTGAAGATAAAGCACCAAGACGGGTTGAATACGAGGTAGTGACAATTATCATATGGTAAATGTGAAGATAAAGCACCAAGACGGGTTGAATACGAGGTAGTGACAATTATCATATGGTAAATGTGAAGATAAAGCACCAAGACGGGTTGAATACGAGGTAGTGACAATTAGCATATGGTAACTGTGGAGGTAAAGCACCAAGACGGGTTGAATACGAGGTAGTGACAATTATCATATGGTAAATGTGAAGATAAAGCACCAAGACGGGTTGAATACGAGGTAGTGACAATTAGCATATGGTAACTGTGGAGGTAAAGCACTACGTTGGGTTGAACAGGAGGTGGTGACAATTAGCATATGGTAACTGTGGAGGTAAAGCACTACGTTGGTCTGAATAGGAGGTAGTGACAATTAGCATATGGTAACTGTGGAGGTAAAGCACTACGTTGGGTTGAACAGGAGGTAGTGACAATTAGCATGTGGTAACTGTGGAGGTAAAGCACTACGTTGGGCTGAACAGGAGGTAGTGACAATTAGCATATGGTAACTGTGGAGGTAAAGCACTACGTTGGGCTGAACAGGAGGTAGTGACAATTAGCATATGGTAACTGTGGAGGTAAACACTAAGTTGGGCTGAACAGGAGGTAGTGACAATTATCATATGGTAACTGTGGAGGCATAAAGCACTAACGTTGGGCTGAACAGGAGGTAGTGACAATTATCATATGGTAACTGTGGAGGTAAAGCACTAATTATAAGTTGGGCTGAACAGGAGGTAGTGACAATTATCATATGGTAACTGTGGAGGTAAAGCACTAAGTTGGGCTGAACAGGAGGTAGTGACAATTATCATATGGTAACTGTGGAGGTAAAGCACTAAGTTGGGCCTGAACAGGAGGTAGTGACAATTATCATATGGTAACTGTGGAGGTAAAGCACTACGTTGGGCTGAACAGGAGGTAGTGACAATTATCATATGGTAACTGTGGAGGTAAAGCACTAATTATAAGTTGGGCTGAACAGGAGGTAGTGTCAATTATCATATGGTAACTGTGGAGGTAAAGCACTACGTTGGGCTGAACAGGAGGTAGTGACAATTATCATATGGTAACTGTGGAGGTAAAGCACTAAGTTGGGCTGAACAGGAGGTAGTGACAATTAGCATATGGTAACTGTGGAGGTAAAGCACTACGTTGGGCTGAACAGGAGGTAGTGACAATTATCATATGGTAACTGTGGAGGTAAAGCACTAATTATAAGTTGGGCTGAACAGGAGGTAGTGACAATTATCATATGGTAACTGTGGAGGTAAAGCACTAAGTTGGGCTGAACAGGAGGTAGTGACAATTATCATATGGTAACTGTGGAGGTAAAGCACTAATTATAAGTTGGGCTGAACAGGAGGTAGTGTCAATTATCATATGGTAACTGTGGAGGTAAAGCACTACGTTGGGCTGAACAGGAGGTAGTGACAATTATCATATGGTAACTGTGGAGGTAAAGCACTAATTATAAGTTGGGCTGAACAGGAGGTAGTGACAATTATCATATGGTAACTGTGGAGGTAAAGCACTACGTTGGGCTGAACAGGAGGTAGTGACAATTATCATATGGTAACTGTGGAGGTAAAGCACTACGTTGGGCTGAACAGGAGGTAGTGACAATTATCATATGGTAACTGTGGAGGTAAAGCACTGAACACTACGTTGGGCTGAACAGGAGGTAGTGTCAATTATCATATGGTAACTGTGGAGGTAAAGCACTAATTATAAGTTGGGCTGAACAGGAGGTAGTGACAATTATCATATGGTAACTGTGGAGGTAAAGCACTAATTATAAGTTGGGCTGAACAGGAGGTAGTGACAACTATCATATAGTAACTGTGGAGGTAAAGCACTAATTATAAGTTGGACTGAACTGGAGGTAGTGTCAATTATCATATGGTAACTGTGGAGGTAAAGCACTACGTTGGGCTGAACAGGAGGTAGTGACAATTATCATATGGTAACTATGGAGGTAAAGCACTACGTTGGGCTGAACAGGAGGTAGTGACAATTATCATATGGTAACTGTGGAGGTAAAGCACTAATTATAAGTTGGGCTGAACAGGAGGTAGTGTCAATTATCATATGGTAACTGTGGAGGTAAAGCACTACGTTGGGCTGAACAGGAGGTAGTGACAATTATCATGAGGTAACTGTAGAGGTAAAGCACTACGTTGGGCTGAACAGGAGGTAGTGACAATTATCATGAGGTAACTGTAGAGGTAAAGCACTACGTTGGGCTGAACAGGAGGTAGTGACAATTATCATAAGGTAACTGTAGAGGTAAAGCACTACGTTGGGCTGAACAGGAGGTAGTGACAATTAGCACATGGTGATTGTGAAGGTAAAACATTAATAAAGGTTGAAAAAGGCAATTATCATATGGTTATCGAATAATTGCATGTGTTTATGATTCAGTATGTGCCGACGGTCGTTACGGCACCAACTGCTCCGCTGTGTGCGGCAACTGCTTGAACGGGGTGATTTGCGATAAGACGACGGGAGTGTGTCCAAACGGCTGTACTGTGGGGTTCTTCACATCAAAGTGCAATACACGTGAGTATGCGTTGCCCTGATACACCAACACTGTACATGTGTCACAACATGGCATCTCATATGTCAGCATTGGTGGTATTTAGGAATATTAGAAAAACAATAAATATATTTCATTATATAATGCAAAAGTGCACCTAGCTTTGTGAACGTAGTTCTTTAAGTTTGACAAGTTCTTTATACATACTGTAATTCATGTTTTAAAATTTGAGTACTTATTTTTGTATTCAGTAATGATCTTAATGACTGGCTGAAGTTTGACAAGTCCATTATATACTCCCCGCCAAAAGTTTAGACTTACTAGAGTAAATATAGCCACTTACTTCAGGCAACTTTTCTAAACTAACTTTTGCAAAAATAATCCATACTGTTTAAAGGTACTGTTTACACATGAACTGATGTCTGCACATGCTTTTCAGCAATTTGATGTATGATCCCCGTGCAATTCATCTGCATAAAGTTTGCGGTTACTTCCCCCAGTTAGTGGAGAAATCAATCTTCGATGTAACCATGTATTATATACATAACATATAGTGCGTGTTTTAAGTGAGTGTAAACTTTTGATGGGAAGTATGCATACCGTAACTCATGTTGTGAAAATGAGTACATATTTCTGTATTTAATATTGACCCTAAAAACTTGCTCAAGTTTGACAAGTTCCTTATAAATACCGTTATTCATGTTGTAAACTATTAATAGTTAATGTGTGTTGACATCGCAGGCTTCTGTATAGTGATAATAGCTGAGTGTACCTGAACTCTCTAGAGCAGTTATCCCCATGTTTGATCATGATTTATAGACATTGTAGTATACAGTCTTTGATAGGCATTTTAGATGTTGGAAGACCATGAGTACATGACGCTTTAAATGGATAATAACAGTTTCTTATATTCTCTGTCAACCCGTGAAGATCCGGATTAGAATTGGTCTTCAGTAACCCATGCTTGTCGTAAGAAGCGGCTAACGGGATCGGGTGGTCAGGTTTACTGACTTGATGACACATGCCATTGTATCCCAATGGCGTAGATCGATGCTCATAATGTTGATCACTGGATTGTATGGTCCAGACTCGATTATTTACAAACCGTAGCCATATAGCTGGAATATTGTTGAGTGCGGCGTTTAACAACAAACAGACTATAATTAGTCGGTTAGGTGAAGTAGCCCTGAATGGTCGTGACAAAATATATAAGAAGTTGTATCCATTTCAAAATGCCATGTATTCATTGTATTATAAAACCTAGGACAAAAATGCACGTACAAGAAACTCTTTAACCCGAACAAAGTATTCATGATGCATCTATGGTCATGTCGTAATTCTTCCAACAATATGTCATTTGTCAAGGCAGAACCATTGTGTTAACCTACTATCCTTTCAGAATGTAGCGATGGAAGATTCGGTCCTCAGTGCGCGTCTGTGTGTGGGTCGTGTCAGAACAAACAGCCTTGTGACAAGCAGACAGGGGCATGTCCGGCTGGATGTGCTCCCGGCTATTCTGGGATTATGTGTTCAACACGTAAATATACGTTATTACCATACCGATATAATGCTTGGTTTGCCTGGTTCATGGTCGATACACGTGAAATATAGAGGAGAAAGGCATGACCGTCACGTCCGGGCTCCGAAAACAGTCACGGCTCCGAAAAAGTGAAAAAGACATGAACTGTAGCTTAAGAGCACCGGTTCCACTTGTCTTGAGCTCTTCCATGGAATTTCCCCGTTTCTTGCAATTGGTTTCGGATCCACCGTCCAAAGAAATTAAAAATAAGGTTTCAATATTTAAATACAAATGTATCTTCACACCTGTTCTCTTGAATTGATTCTTAAGAAAACACTACTCAGATAGAATTAGAAATACACAAACCTTTTCATATTTGGTCAATACGGATATTTTGTTCAGAAAAAATATTTACTTATGTTTCTTTTTCTTCTTCTTTTTCGTTTTATTGTTTTATTGTTTTGTTTTTTTTTTTGGGGGCACTAATTGTTATCTTTAAGAATAATTGGGGAATAAATCTGTAATAACTGGCAAGGGGCAGCTCCGTAATTTTTGCTGTGGTTATTAATTTAGGTGTGCCACAGGCCTATGACGATATTCTCCAATCCATGGTAATATTCCATCTGAATATCTCTTTCGATTTGGCCATGCCTTGCTTGTCAGTTTAAATAAAGTTAAAACGACAAAGATCTGCACACTTCAACCGCTTTAACCTAGACCCATACACAAGTCTTAATTATGTATGACTGTAACTTTAAAATGTTGTGTTCTTAAACACGATGCCGGATTATGTTTTGTGTTACTGTGAAGATCCTGGTTAGAATTGATCTTCAGCAACCCATGGTTGTCGTAAGAGGCGACTAACGGGATCGGGTAGTCAGGCTCGCTGACTTGGTTCACACATGTCATCGGTTCCCAATTGCGTAGATCGATGCTCATGCTGTTGATCACTGGATTGTCTGGTCCAGACTCTATCATTTACAGACCGCCGCCATATAGCTGGAATATTGCTGGGTGCGGCGTTAAACAATAAACAAACAAACAATTCACGAGTCTTAGTTATAGACAACCGTATCTTGGGTATGCTCTGATCTGAAACATGGTCTATGTTTTATGTTTCGTGTTCCCAGCTTGCAATGCCGGGACGTATGGCACCAGCTGCCAGTTTGCTTGTGGACGATGTCGTAATGGTGATGTATGTGACACAGTGTCGGGGATGTGCTTCAAGGGATGTGATGCTGGGTGGACGGGCGTTACGTGCAATACAGGTAATCCTTCTACGTGTAATTGTACTATTTGGGGGATTTATGATCTGGAGCCGATCATTGAAATATCCTGTCCTGTGAAGACAAATGAGTTTTTGAGTTGGTTTTAGCTTTTAGCAATATTCTAGCGATACTAACGGCGGGAAACACCAGAAATAGGCTTCCCATATTGTATCCAAGTGGGAATCGAAATCGGGTCTTCGTCGTGACGGGCGAACGCTTTATCCACCAGGCTACCCCAGCGCCCTTCTATTAATTAACACCCCATTGCGTTACTACACGAAAATGTATATACATAAAACTAGTATGGAAGAACATGAACCAAACCCTATCAGACACATGCTTGTATAACATCAAATGTTGATAATACATATGTGATGCCCATTTCTGGTGTCCCCCGCCGTGATATTGCTAAAGCAAAATTCGCTCACTCGCTTAATTAATAGCAATGAAGGATTTTTACCATTCACAATTACGCAATGATCTCTTCAAATTATTCACATACATGTGTGTATTACTGTGACAACCATGGTATAATCAAGTTTTTGTAAAGAATCTTTAGTTATGTTGATCCAGTGGTGACCCCGAGACCTTTGATCAGTGAATGTGTTTCTCTTTTTAGAATGTGGATTAGGGACGTTTGGTCAAGACTGTGTCCAGACGTGCGGACACTGTAAAGTGAACACTGTGTGTAGCACTGTCAACGGATTCTGTCCTGAAGGATGCAGTCCGGGTTTTGCAGGGGCGATCTGTCAAACAGGTACAGCGATAAATGTCTGGCAGTTGAGGGAAAGGCTGGCGAGTGTAGATGTCTATATAAACTCACGGACGAAAGAAACGTCACCTCGCATTTTTAACTTGTCACAAAACAACAAACTCAGATTTTGGAAATTTAACAATCATATTTGGGAAATTATTGGATTTACAACATTCTGAATGATAAATGTGTGAACTACAGATATGAATAATCACTTAGTGTACGATAAAAGATAAAAAAAATTTATTTTGGTGACGTTTCTTTCGCCCATGAGTTTACAGGAAAATTAAATATTAACATTAAACATTGGAGTAAGCTTCTTGTGTCTGATAATAGTATCTTACAAGGTTCTTATAAGTATTTGCATGAGGAGGTGGGAGACCCGAGGTGTTAAGAATTGGGCGTATCAGGTTAAACGTATTTTGTCAAGCATTGATTTCAGTGAAATATGGTTAAGGCAGGGATTGCCAATAGATTTTTTATCAGTTATTTAACAACTATTAATGATCAGGCTATACACTTTATTTTTAGTCAGTTATCCAACTTGTCGAAATGTGTGATTTATGAAAATGGTACGAATCAATGTTCGCTTCAATAATATTTACATAAATCTATTCCATATCTCTATAAGTACTTCTCACAATTCCAACTCAGCTCCCATAAAAAGCGGTAGAATCTGGCAGATACCAAAACAAAAATTGTGTAAATCGTAAATGTTTAATGTATAAAGATGGTATTGAAGACGAACTGCATTTTATATTAAAATGTCCATCATATCATAAATATAGAATATGTATATTAAACCATATTATTATAAATATCCATCAGTTTTTAAGCTTAGTCAACTTCTAAGTATTAACAATGTTAGAACATTATGTAACTTAGGTAAATATTTATATAAGGCTAGTAGATTAAGACATGAGTTAATTAGTACGCAGTAATTGTACCTCCCCCTTATTATTCCATTGTCACCATTTTTTCAAAAAACAAACCTGTACCCATACCGTTGTTTCATGTGCCAAGTGTCTGTACAGATAAAGGTAATAAACGATTCGAACGACACTGCGATATCCAGCCAACGTGTAAATGTACATATGTGTGGAAGCCAGAGTTGGGAATGTGGCTGTATGGGTGTAGCAATGACTGTTTCTCTCTGTGTTGGCATAAATGTATATGTTCTCAGCAATATATGATCCATGTTGTAGTGAAGGGAAATATATCTGTGTTTTCTTCGATAATTACGTTTGGCAGCCAGAGTGCTTGCCGGTGGACTTGCTTTCTTGCTAGTCTTTGTTTGTTGGTTCAATATCGTGAGTAACAATCGATCACATCAGGCAACATTGACAAGAAATTAACCAAGTCACCGAGCTTAACCATTCGATACACTTGGTTGTTTCTTACGGTCAACAAGGTTGCGAGAAACCAAATCTCACCCTGAATTAGCTATAGAGCGGAGGCTCAAGTTGTGCTCCGATTAAATATTCGGTTTTTTTTGGTACACATGTAAATCATCCGACAGGTGTGTTTGGCAGTCAGTGATCCACATTGTATGTGTGGCGAGTAAAAAAGTCAAATGAGTACCCACATGTGTGTAAGGCAAGATATTAACCACAATACATGAATGCCAGAAGAGAACTACTTCATGTGTGTCCGTATTCAGTTTATGCACGTAGGCAAATTGTCAATTCGAAACACTTCTTTATTGGTGAACATGCGATGAAAGACATTGTACATACATTTATGGCAATGCATGCCCCATACATGTATGTGTTCTTGTAGGTTATGCACTTTAATGTATGCCTGTGTGTTAATGACAATGAGCTATCATTGTCTGTAGGTGATGGTGCATTTCTTTTCATGTAAGGTTTTTGTGTTTATGTAAATATGCTCCTCCAAACAATTCTAAAGTATTTTTGCAAATATGTCAAAATAGACATAGGTTGCCTACCATTGAATGGTCTAGTCCAGTAATGTTTACTTCGACATGGTCTTAAGACATCACGTTTGTACATTCTGTAACAGAATGTCCATCCTTCACCTGTGGGCCTATACATTTTATGAGCTTATGTGCCGGTTCTTTTAGTTTGGAAACTAAGGGTTATATTAGTACAATAAAAAACACTACCGAATGATAAATTATATGTTTTTTCTAAAAGGTGCACATGCATATGTTCATGGCTGATGTTTCAATATACATTGGGGTCAATAAAGATATATCAGTTAGAAACTAGAAACATTTATGTTACGATATACAAATTATTACAAACAAACCTAATCCAATGTATACATTTATCATATATAATGTATTTTATGCTACTTTTGGTAGTAATGAATCATTTCTTTTTATTTTATTTTTGTTTGACTTATAACTGTCAATTTAATTACGAATTTATTGTTTGTAAATTATAACAGAATGTCCGTCCTTCACCTATGGGTCCAGCTGTAGTAACAGATGTGGACAATGTAAAGACTCAACGCCTTGCGATAAGATCACTGGCTTGTGTCCTGGCGACTGCCAACCAGGGTACAAACGGCCTTACTGTCGATCAGGTAAAGCACTTGTCGCCAACGACGGAGTCAGCACAGGCTCTCGTGTCTTTGCGAGGATTGAAGATTACAAAAATATAATTGAATCATGATTTATTGTACTGTGAAGCATTTCGAGTCGGGCGTCATCTCATTTTTTTTACACTTTAATCCTCGCTAAGACACGATGGCCTGTGGTAGTCACGATGGCCCGTGGTAGTCACGATGGCCTGTGGTAGTCACATCTCTACGCAATACAGGAACAGTGAATATTCGAGTTAATGTATTCTCTTCAAACAAGGAACGCAAAATGATATTCTAATGTATACTTTGTGTATAATATAAATAATCAACAGATCATAATTGTTCACATTTGGCACAGATCATTGTCAATATCAATCATCACAGCACACACGACAACAAAATGTCAAGGCGAAGGTCAGTTGTCAGTACCTTTTATTGCCCCATGGAACCTATGAGTTTACGAATTGTGGCATGAGGAATGTCCATACACTCTAGCTGCTGTGCTTGTGCCAACTGGAGGGGGTTCTGTTACTGCTGCTGACGTAATCCAACATCAAGATCAAGAGCAATGTTTGATTGAGTTCTTGAGGGTCATGGCAGTTCTTGGATGTTGTGGTTCCTCAAAAAAGGCCTTTGTCAGTTTGAGGGTCGGGCATTGTCGTGCTGAAAGATTATGTATGCTTGTTGCAAAATCAGAAGGATACGTGGCTGCAGAATTTCATCTGTGTAAAGCTGTACCGTTAAATTGCCCTTGACGTGTATCAAGTCTATTCTCCTGTCCACCAACGACGTCTTCCGTCTGCATGGAGAAGCAAAACACGTGAGCCATCCCTAAACCAAATACGTCTCCATCGCACTTGTGGCCAACTATGTGTCTTGATACCATTAACGTATGGCGATGCTGGTCACTCAAAATGACGCATCGAACTGGTTGTCTTGGGCGAATGCCTGCAGCGCTTAGACGGTTCTTCATGTCTGGGCTGAACTCGAGTGTAATCCCGTATGGCTGCAGCTGTATGGTGGCCCTGGTGGGTCTATAACATAAGGGGCGATGGTGTAGCCTAGTGGTTAAAGCGTTCGTTCGTCATGCCGAAGACCCGGGTTCGATTCCCCACATGGGTACAATATGTGAAGCGCACTTCTGGTGTCCCACGCCGTGATATTGCTGGAATTGACTGGAATATTGCTAAAAGCGGCGTAAAACCAAACTCATTCTCTCACTCTATCACATATGTAACGGACCCGTACGACCTGTCCTGCACTGTACATGTACGTTACACGTGGTCGACCGGACCTGATGACGGTTTCATAGTTTGGGTGCTTGGCGACACGTGAAGAAATCTGGCTACGTCCGAAGCCAAGAGGCCTGTCTGCAGTCGACTGATTGCGTTGAGCTTCTGTCAGTCATTGCATGTTTTTACTTTTCACTTGCAATACAGTTGTGATGACAGACAAATGAAAACAAAACGTCTATTTGGATGAAACATTTAAAATTCTGATTAAACAGTTGTTGCATGTTATTCGATATGATTTAATATAAAACCCCATGTTACAGCATGTGATGATGGGACATACGGTGCCAACTGTGAATCTTCCTGTGGATCGTGTCGAAACAAGGCACCGTGTGATAAAGTGACCGGAAGTTGTCCTAGCGGTTGTGACCCTGGGAAAACTGGTAACCTCTGCGTGGAAGGTAACGACATACGGCTTCAATATGTAGCTCGAACCCAATAATCGAAAAGGGAAAGCATTAATCCTAGATCCAATATGCAAATTAGCTAGAATACTAGCTTTCAGCTCCGCTCTGTTCGAGAATCACATTTTCGGAGCATATGTTGTGACGGTCTGAAAACAAGGATTATGTACAAACCACTACTAAATGATGAACACGAGAAGATCCGGGTTAGAATTGATCTTCAGTAACCCATGCTTGTCGTAAGAGGCGACTAACGGGATCTGGTGGTCAGGCTCGCTGACTTGGTTGACACATGTCATCGCATCCCAAATGCTCATGCTGTTGATCACTGGGTTGTCTGGTCCAGACTCGATTATTTACAGACCGCCATCATATATCTGGAATATTGTTGAGTGAACACGTCAAGCATGCAAACCAACAAACAAACTAAACAATGGCTGATCTTTTTTTAAATGTCAACGTTTGACTTATAACTCATCATTTATGGGTGAAGCTATTAACTATATAATCTGCCAAAACATTTTGGAGAGCCATGACGATTAGGTATCACATCTATAGACATATATTAATCCTGTTCGCAAAATAGAATACACTTTAAAAACCAAGACAACCAGTTGCTGTCCTTCCAGTTTTGCTGAAACGTCGATAGCTGAGTAGGTTAGACCGTTGACAGTTTCTGTCTCTCTCTGAGGGCGTGGGTTCGAATCCTGTTTGGACTCAACCCCAATAAGAAAGTGTAATCCAAAATATAACATAATACACTTTAAAAAAATATAATATGACCCTTTTCCGAAAACAACAAAAACATGTATTAACTCCAAACTTTTGATATTTTCACAATGCAGATTGTGCGGAAGGTACCTACGGCTCTGGCTGTTCATTCAACTGTGGCCGATGTCGACCAGGGGTGGTGTGTGACCGGGTGGATGGCTCTTGTCCGTCCGGGTGTCAGGACGGATACAACGGAACGCTATGCCTGCAAAGTAGGACTTGTTAGCCTTGTTAACATTTGAGAGAAAATGTATTTGATTTAACTGTCACTATTTACCTTCTTGTTATCATTTATTACATTGCTTTCATAATTCTGAAGAAGTCGATTTCAGCACTTCGTTGATTCATAAGCTCAAAAGCATTATTCATTACAAATAGTTTGGTGTACATATATCAGTCAGATAATATTTTTCTCTATAATATATTACAGTGAAACAACTATTTTCTTTAAGTGCCTCATCAGGGTTTGTAGGTGGTTTGATCTTAAAGTGTTTGGCTTTTCACATGGACGACCAAAATTCCATTGCCCATATTTACATCATCGCGAACCCCTGAAGATTCCGGGTTAGAATATATCTTCAGCAACCCATGCTTGTAAGAGACGACCGAAGGGATCGGGTGGTCAGGCTCGCTGACTCGGTTGACACATGTCATCGGTTCCCAATTGCGCAAGTTGATGCTCATGCTGTTGATCACTGGATTGTCTGGTCCAGACTTGATTATTTACAGACCGCCACCATATAGCTGGAATATTGCTGAGTGCGGTGTTAAACAACAATCAGTCAATTGCAATGCGTCGAATAGGAGTCTCTCTGTTGAAATGAGAACCTGTACTTTACTTGCACTGTTTCATTTCAGCTTGTCCAAGGGGCACCTATGGCTTTAGCTGTTTCAAGAGATGCGGTCAGTGTCTTGACCTAGAGTCATGTGACTTCGCTACTGGAGTATGTCCATCAACCGGCTGTCGTCCCGGTTGGAGAGGGGCACTCTGCAATGAAGGTAGAATACGTGCAAAACCTTCACATTGCTTGTTCATTTATGTATTTCATATAGACTGTGTAATCATACATGTATATTGTTACAGCCTTCCTAGTTGCCCACAGGGGCGGTGGGGTAGCCTAGTGGTTAAAGCGTTCGCTCGTCACGCCGAACACCGGGTTCGATTTCCCACATGGGAACAATATGTGAAGCCCATATCTGGTGTCCGCCGCCGTGATATTGCTGGAATATTGCTAAAATCGGAGTAAAAGTAAACTCACTCATTCACTCAATTCATTGTACTCGGACACGGTAGTGTAACATGCAGTGTCAAATGACGACGTGTTCGCACACCAGATAATCTTTCTTTGACATATAGGACAGGTTGCAAACCTGTTTGTCCACATTATTTACGTGTAAAGTGTCAATACCTCATATGACCAATGTAACATTTACAAGTCTGGACTATGTCGACTCAATACAGTTCGATGGTAATATGAAAAGTTAAGTGCCATACGCTTTCAAGCGTGAACCTCAGTGGTTGATTAACCTATAATAAACTCCATGCAGGAGTGATGCATTTTAGATGCTATGAGGCTTATGTCCTATGTAATTTCGATATATGACTATGCGTTACAAAACTGTCCACGTTTTTCCAGTGTGTACAGACAGGACTTACGGCAGCAATTGTAACCAACAGTGCGGCAACTGTACGGACGACGACCTGTGCGACAAGGAAAATGGACGGTGTCCCAACGGTTGCAAGCCAGGATACAAATGGGAACAATGCCAAACCAGTAATTTTATTGTTTGTTTGTTGTTATTGTTGGTGTTTGTTTTCAGTTTTGTTTTGTTTTGTTTGTTTGGTGGTTTTACATTTTATTTATGTTTTAATTATTTTGTTATTTTGTGTTTGCTTTTGAGGGAGGAATCTTTCAACAATGTTTTAGTTAAGTGTTAAAAGGTTATCTTAAGTTACTAAAATGCTTGGATTGAGGCAAATTGCCAGTTTGTTTTAAATCCACTTTTTTTCACTGTGTTTCACATTGGCGCGTACTCTCCCTGTAGGTAGACTTGTCGTTATACATTTTAAAGAGTTGATTATAACCCGTTATTACATGCAGCTAATTTTCCCCACAAAGTACTACTTAAATCGTCAAAACCAATGCTGAAAATAGGCAACATTGTGTGGTTTCGTACCCCTTCAGATTCCAAAAAGATCTGGCTCGAATCCACAAAGCATTCGTAGCGTTACGACCTATCGTAACGCTATGCTTTATCATGTGCTTACAAATGGCGCAGTTCTACGAACGCTTTGTGGATTCTGACGCTGGTTTTTGCCATAGCATTAAAAAGTACGTTACTTATGACGACACCAACTAAGATACTATGTACGAATGCCTTGGAATATCCCATCGTCCTACATACAACCACTCTTTCAGAATGTGACCCCGGAAGATATGGACAAGGTTGTAGTTTTGAATGTGGGAAGTGCAAAGATGGCGCACCGTGCAATCACGTGGACGGATCTTGCCCAGACGGATGCGTAATTGGATGGACTGGTGTGAACTGTGACAAAGGTACGTCATGTCAATACTTTACACGAAAATCACAAATTTCCTTCACCGTTGTTTTCTCCTTATGTTCATAAATCAATTTTTCTTGCTGAAATTATGTTTATTTTCAGAGTGTCCGAACGGTTACTATGGTGACGCATGCGTGAAATCATGCGGCCGATGCAAGGACAATGTCCCTTGTAACAAAGTCACTGGACTGTGTTCCGCTTGCGCCCCTGGCTGGATTACGGAGTACTGTAATACCAGTAAGTACTCCAGTTATGCGGATCTGTGTAAATAGAATGTAAACAACGTGTTTCCTAAATCGGAAGACGTTTGGCGTAGGTTGAAGGCACACTATCACAAGATGAAATTAAAAAGTTCGAATGAATTAATGCAACATTGCATTAAATCGACTCTCGCACCCTCTACCGACCGAACTTTATTTCAAGCGAAGTCTATAGAGTTACGTCCCTTGGAACGCTCTTAAAGAAAATGCTATAAACGCAACTTGTGAGTGTATTGAGGCCAGTTCGGCGAACACCGACAACACCGCGTGCGACAGTTTTCGATGTACGGAGCAATCGTTTACATTCCATATATGGCAAGTGTTCCCTGTTTAGAAGCTGTTCGCCTCAAAGTTTCAATTATCGATTTCAGGCAAGATTCGGGTTAGAATTGATCTTCAGCAACTCATGCATGTTTGCCGAAAGAGGCAACTGGCGGGATTAGGTGGTCATGCTCGCTGACTTTGTGACACATGTCATCGTATCCCAGTTGCGTAGATCGATGCTCATGCTGTTGATCACTGGATTGTCTGGTCCAGACTCAATTAGATACAGACTGCCGCCATATAGCTGGAATATTGCTGAGTGCGGAGTTAAACATCAAACCATCAAATGAAATTCATATTTGAAATGCGAAAGCACGTGTCAGTGTAATGAACGTTTCAAGTCATCTTTTGGTAAATACATGTAATATGATGTCATATTCGTTTGTGTTTCAGACTGCCCCAACGGCACCTTTGGTGCGGAATGTAATTCTCCTTGCGGTGCATGTAAGGATGCCGCTTACTGTCAACACGTGACGGGTGATTGCCCGGATGTATGCGAACCCGGGTGGCAAGGCCTCAACTGTCTGACGGGTCAGTCAGGGCTCATCTTTTAGACAAATATTATGTATTTCCAGATATGCCGGTGTCATTACATATTCTGTGGGTGGGATTTTTTTAACAGATGGCTTTTGCATTGTTTAATATTGCACATTTACATTGTAAAATATGTTATCAGACATGGCCGGCAGTTCCAAGTGAGCACTCGCGATGGCTTTAATGATATCACGTCATGATACAATCGATGACGTCATAGGCTTCCTTGAGACCTGAGCCCACCCGTGAATATGAAAACGGACAGTTAAATAAGAACATCGAAAACTCAAATCTAACAGTAGCACCATTTGTTTTTCACATGTATACTATTAAATCCGGAACCATACTTTATGAGGAGATTGATTCTATTGCATATGATTTCAGCAGCTGTATTTAACACTTATCAATGCTTAACGACACAAATATTCTTATGAAACAGTTAAACCAGTTAAAAAAATCATAGTGCAGATAACCATTAAGTATCATACGCCATCTCTGTTACTAAAGGAAAGTGGGTGGGTTAGCCTAGTGGTTTAAGCATTCGCCTGTCACGCCGAAGACACAGCTTCGATTCGCCACATGGGTACAATCTGTGAAGCCCATTTCTGGTGTCCCCCCGCCGTGATATTGCTGGAATATTGCTAAAAGCGGCGTAAAACCCAACTCACTCACTCACTGAAGGAATACCTGAGATGTTCGGCAACCCACACGGGATCGGTGGTAGGCTTACTGACTTAGCTGATGTGTGTCATTGTATCAATATTGAACATATCGATTCTCGTGATATCAATCAATCGATATCAGTGTGATCCAGACTTGATCATTTACAGTGAGTGAGTGAGTTGGGTTTTACACCGCCTTGAGCAATATTCCACCAATATCACGGCGGGGGACAACGGAAATGGGCTTCACATGTGGTCATGTGGGGAATCGAACCCGGGCCTTCGTCGGGACGAGCGAACGCTTAAATCACTAGGATACCACCACCACCCACCCCCACCCCCACCCCCTTAGTATAGTTGTATAGGTGTAATAAGAGTGCGGCGTTAAATAGCAAACTAACGGACACAATAACAGCAAAATATTAAATATACAAAGTATGTTGAACGTGTAATGGGAACAGATCATTAATTGCTTGGGAATAATAATTTTGTGTAAGCGTGAATCTTTTGTACTTTTCATGTCAACAACGTCGAACTGTATATCTATAAGTCCTCTGTATAAGTCTTTTTAACCAGATTTTCTTCTATGCAATATACGATAATCGATACCCCATCATTTGATCGAGTGGTCAAAACCATTTGAGTATAGAATGTATAATGTGAACGTTAACACGCGGCCCCAGAACCAAAACAATAGAAATGTATTTTTATATAGCTCTTTCAATGGCCAATTTTTTTTGACAAAACTGGTTATCTACAAAGGACGCATTTCTGTCACATTTTCATTATTTAGCTGCAATGCATTAAACATATATCGTTCTTGAATATTGAACGCAACAATAAATAATTATACAAATTTAAACTCGTGAATAAACCTACCCACACTTGTAAGAATAGAATCCAGCCATGATGACACCGCCTGTGGTTAACACTATGCCTTGTACACTTGTACATTATATTCCCACAAAAGTACAAGGTGTGAAGCCCATTTCTAGTATCCCAAGCTGTGATATTGCTAAATGCGGCGTAAAACTAAACTCACTCACTCACTCACTCACTCACTCACTCACACTCACTCTCAATCAATCAATCAATCAATCAATCACTGTAGATTGTAATAATCCCCTGGTTTTATTCTGCCTCCACAGAATGTGAGAACGGCACCTATGGCGAGCGGTGTCAGGAAACATGTGGTCAGTGCAAGGCGGGGACAACGTGTAACAAGGTGACGGGGGACTGTGAGGGTGGATGTGGACCTGGCTTTAAAGGGACCCAATGCAGGGAAAGTACGACACCCAGCCTTTTATTCTGGACACAATCTCTTTTAACTTGTTCAAAAACACATTTCCGCTGAAATGTATTATATAATCTAACAAATCATTTGTCGATGTAATTGACATTAGATTGTCTATTAGACATATCTATTTAAATGTAAAGGAAAATGTCATTTCACAATATGTCTTACCATTTCTCAGTTGTAACTGAACAATTGAGACATTAGTGAATATTTTAATTCAAGCAATCGTTACAATTCATGCATATGTTCATATATGACAAGGGCAGTGGCGTAGCCTAGTGGTTAAAGCGTTCGCTCGTCATGCCGAAGACCCGGGTTCGATTCCCCACATAGGTAAAATGTGTGAAGCCCATTTCTGGCGTCCCCCGCCGTGATATTGTTGGAATATTGCTAAAAGCGACGTAAGACTAAACTCACTCACTCACTCACTGATATATGACGTTCTGGTTGTAGCGTGTGACGCCGGGACGTTTGGTGACGCGTGTTCATTGACGTGTGGTCACTGTGACACAGCCAGCTGTAAGTCGGTCACTGGCGCTTGTCCCTCTTGTCTGGCTGGATGGAAAGGCGATACTTGTACTGAGGGTAAGATACAGAAATGAACCTAGTTTTAATTCTCGAGTTAGGTACATGTAGGCTAGTTAATGGCAGGCTATACAACTATGAATATAACTTAGAACCGACCTCACAACGTGACGTTTCAAATGTTAGAGTTAACATGGTTTCAACATGGTGTTGTAAACAGTAAATATAAAAATATACAACTTCATGTTGTAAGTCCCTCTTTGTTTACATGAAAAAAAGCATTTCTTAATGTGTCCAGATATGCATTCAGATACCGTTTAATGCATCCAGGCATATCTTAATCTATTCGCACATGTATCTATAATGTTTTTCGCAAGTCTCGTCAACTAGAATACTAATCAGGGCCTAGATTTTCGAAGCTCTCTTAGCGCTAAGATAGTCGTAAGTGCCATACATTAACATTAACATACGACTACCTTAGCGCTAAGATAGTCGTAAGTGCCATACATTAACATTAACATACGACTACCTTAGCGCTAAGAGAGCTTCGAAAATCTAGGCCCAGGATATTATTTCTTGTCCTGACTGTCCCGACTACGGAAGCAAGAGTATCAATCATACATATATGGTGGTGTTTTTTCAGAATGCGAAGACGGCAAGCATGGTCCTAATTGCGCAAATACATGTGGTACGTGTCAGGATGGTGTCCCCTGCAACAGGACATCTGGAGTATGTCCAACTGGCTGCATGCCGGGCTTTACAGGACAAGACTGTACTCTAAGTAGGTGCATGAAAATAAACTATTTTATGAAATATGATAAATTATTATTTCGAGCTGACTTTATTGAACGAACGGCCGACTATTTACCGAAACGCACAAAATCACTGAGATGGTACAACAAAATATTTATCACATCACCTAATTATTGATTGTATCCAGGAAATAATGACTTCTTTATCGAGTGAGTGAGTTTAGTTTTACGCCACACTCAGCAATATTCCAGCTATATGGCGGCGGTCTGTAAATAATCGAGTCCGGACCAGACAATCCAGTGATCAACAGCATGAGCGATTGGGTATGCGATGACATGTGGCAACCAAGTCAGCGAGCCTGACCACCCGATCCTGTTAGTCGCCTCTTACGACAAGCATGGGATGTTGAAGATCAGTTCAAACCCGGATCTTCAAGGGCCCTTTTGCATCAAAGTAACAGTACCTGTTTTGTGTGTACAAACAATACCATGCTATTCACTTGTGTCTATGAACTCCAGGGTGTCCGGATGGTAGTTATGGAGACGGGTGTGCGACTGAGTGTGGACGTTGTCAGGACAGCGTCGCGTGTGACTACATCACGGGGGTGTGCCCAGAGGGATGTCAGCCATCTTGGATTGGAGACAAATGTGATAAAGGTTATAATATCTCACTATTCAGTCGAAGTATGCATACACAAATCCATTTTCTTATATTTAAACATTGTGTACAGTTTGATATTCAGTAGCTAAAAAACTTTTATCTGATATTTGTCTCATGTATTTAAAAGTACTTCAGTTTTTGACAAACTTTCTTGGTTTAGAATGCACTTGGTCTAAATATCTTTCTCTTAAACATTTGGTTGAAGACAAAATAACTACAACCTGTATACATTAATCAATGTAATGTATTAATAAAGTGCTTGTCATAACTATACTTAATTCTGATGTGTCAATGATAAAGCAGAGAGGCTTATTAATATTTTTCCAATGAATAATTGTAACGTTCGGCTCTGTACAGTTGAAACACCAAAGTGGCACATTTTGAGCAGAGTCGTATGTTTAGTTTTAAAGCTTTAAGCATTTTGTGCAAAGTCAACCATCGCAGCAATTTAAATGTTTTGATTTTGCCATTTTTCAGAATGCGACATTGGTTACTATGGAGACGACTGTAACAACACGTGCGGCCGTTGTGCGGGAGAAGGGGGATGTGACAAGGTATCAGGGGCGTGTCCGTTCAAGTGTCAGAAGGGTTTTACAGGTCTACTCTGCGTGGAACCCATCGGTAATATTAACATAACACATGCTTCTAAACCAAGACATTGAATAAACAGTGGCTTTATCCTCTGTTGGGGCGATACGGGTACCTGGTTGTATTGGTATTTGTTCATCCCGCCGTAGACTATGTTTCGATTGTTCAGTGAGAGAACTACAGGTGTTAAGGTCATAATAGTACTTGCACATTCTTTAAACGTCCAGAAACAATACTCCCCTAATCGCCTGAGGTATCATGATTTGCTGGAGCAAATGGCAAAGCACTGGTGCGTTGCAAGGCCGTCCCGATATAATTATCCTTGGTCTTTCAACAGACATGCGTCCCAATATGATTATCCTTCGTCTTTCAACGCACATGCGTCCCAATATGATTATCCCTGGTCTTTCAACACACATGCGTCCCAATATGATTATCCTTGGTCTTTCAACACTCATGCGTCATATTATGATTATCTTTGGTCTTTCAACACACATGCGTCCCAATATGATTATCCTTGGTCTTTCAACACACATGCGTCCCAATATGATTATCCTTCGTCTTTCAACGCACATGCGTCCCAATATGATTATCCCTGGTCTTTCAACACACATGCGTCCCAATATGATTATCCTTGGTCTTTCAACACTCATGCGTCATATTATGATTATCTTTGGTCTTTCAACACACATGGGTCCCAATATGATTATCCTTGGTCTTTCAACACACATGCGTCCCAATATGATTATCCTTGGTCTTTCAACACACATGCGTCCCAATATGATTATCCTTGGTCTTTCAACACACATGCGTCATATTATGATTATCCTTGGTCTTTCAACACACATGCGTCACAATATGATTATCCTTGCTCTTTCAACACACATGCGTCATATTATGATTATCCTTGGTCTTTCAACTAACATGCGTCATATTATGATTATCCTTGGTCTTTCAACACACATGCGTCATATTATGATTATCCCTGGTCTTTCAACACACATGCGTCATATTATGATTATCCCTGGTCTTTCAACACATGCGTCATATATGATTATCATGCGTCATATTATGATTATCCCTGGTCTTTCAACACACATGCGTCATATTATGAACACACATGCGTCATATTATGATTATCCCTGGTCTTTCAACACACATGCGTCATATTATGATTATCCCTGGTCTTTCAACACACATGCGTCATATTATGATTATCCTTGGTCTTTCAACACACATGCGTCCCCATATGATTATCCTTGGTCTTTCAACACACGTGCGTCCCCATATGATTATCCTTTGTCTTTCAACACACATGCGTCCCAATATGATTATCCTTGGTCTTTCAACACACATGCGTCCCAATATGATTATCCTTGGTCTTTCAACACACATGCGTTCCAATATGATTATCCTTGGTCTTTCAACACACATGCGTCATATTATGATTATCCTTGGTCTTTCAACACACATGCGTCATATTATGATTATCCCTGGTCTTTCAACACACATGCATTATTATGAACACACATGCGTCATATTATGATTATCCCTGGTCTTTCAACACACATGCGTCATATTATGATTATCCCTGGTCTTTCAACACACATGCGTCACCATATGATTATCCCTGGTCTTTCAACACACATGCGTCATATTATGATTATCCTTGGTCTTTCAACACACATGCGTCCCCATATGATTATCCTTTGTCTTTCAACACACATGCGTCCCAATATGATGATCCTTGGTCTTTCAACACACATGCGTCCCCATATGATTATCCTTGGTCTTTCAACACACATGCGTTCCAATATGATTATCCTTGGTCTGTCAACACACATGCGACACAACATGATTATCCTTGGTCTTTCAACACACATGCGTCACCATATGATTATCCCTGGTCTTTCAACACACATGCGTCATATTATGATTATCCTTGGTCTTTCAACACACATGTGTCCCAATATGATTATCCTTGGTCTTTCAACGAACATGCGTTCCAATATGATTATCCTTGGTCTTTCAACACACATGCGTACCAATATGATTATCCTTGGTCTTTCAACGCACATGCGTCCCAATATGATTATCCTTCGTCTTTCAACACACATGAGTCCCCAATATGATTATCCTTGGTCTTTCAACGCACATGCGTACCAATAAGATTATCCTTGGTCTTTCAACGCACATGCGTTCCAATATGATTATCCTTGGTCTTACAACACACATGCAATGCAACCTGATTATCCTTGGTCTTTCAACACACATGCGTCCCAACCTGATTATCCTTGGTCTTTCAACACACATGCGTCCCAATATGATCATCCTTGGTCTTACAACACACATGCAATGCAACATGATTATCCTTGGTCTTTCAACACACATGCGTCCCAATAAGATTATCCTTGGTCCTTCAGCACACATGAGTACCAAAATGAGTATCCTTGGTCTTTCAACACACATGCGTTCCAATATGATTATCCTTGGTCTTTCAACACACATGCGTCCCAACATGATTATCAATGGTCTTTCAACACACATGCGACACAACATGATTATCCTTGGTCTTTTAACACACATGCGTCCCAATATGATTATCCGTGGTCTTTTAACGAACATGCGTTCCAATATGATTATCCTTGGTCTTTCAACACACATGCGTTCCAATATGATTATCCTTGGTCTTTCAACGAACATGCGTTCCAATATGATTATCCTTGGTCTTTCAACACACATGCGTTCCAATATGATTATCCTTGGTCTTTCAACACACATGCGTCCCAATATGATTATCCTTGGTCTTTCAACACACATGAATCCCAATATGATTATCCTTGGTCTTTCAACACACATGCGTACCAATAAGATTATCCTTGGTCTTTCAACGCACATGCGTTCCAATATGATTATCCTTGATCTTTCAAGACATATGCAACGCAACATGATTATCCTTGGTCTTTCAACACACATGCGACACAACATGATTATCCTTGGTCTTTTAACACACATGCGTCCCAATATGATTATCCGTGGTCCTTCAACACACATGCAATGCAACATGATTATCCTTGGTCTTTTAACACACATGCGTCCCAATATGATTACCCTTGGTCTTTCAACAGACATGATGCGTCCCAATATGATTATCCTTGGTCTTTCAACACATATGCGTCCCAATAAGATTATCCGTGGTCCTTCAACACACATGCAATGCAACATGATTATCCTTGGTCTTTTAACACACATGCGTCCCAATATGATTACCCTTGGTCTTTGAACGAACATGCGTTCCAATATGATTATCCTTGGTCTTTCAACACACATGCGTTCCAATATGATTATCCTTGGTCTTTCAACGAACATGCGTTCCAATATGATTATCCTTGGTCTTTCAACACACATGCGTTCCAATATGATTATCCTTGGTCTTTCAACACACATGCGTCCCAATATGATTATCCTTGGTCTTTCAACACACATGAATCCCCAATATGATTATCCTTGGTCTTTCAACACACATGCGTACCAATAAGATTATCCTTGGTCTTTCAACGCACATGCGTTCCAATATGATTATCCTTGGTCTTTCAAGACATATGCAACGCAACATGATTATCCTTGGTCTTTCAACACACATGCGTCACAATATGATTATCCTTGGTCTTTTAACACACATGCGTCCCAATATGATTATCCGTGGTCCTTCAACACACATGCAATGCAACATGATTATCCTTGGTCTTTTAACACACATGCGTCCCAATATGATTACCCTTGGTCTTTCAACAGACATGATGCGTCCCAATATGATTATCCTTGGTCTTTCAACACATATGCGTCCCAATAAGATTATCCGTGGTCCTTCAACACACATGCAATGCAACATGATTATCCTTGGTCTTTTAACACACATGCGTCCCAATATGATTACCCTTGGTCTTTGAACGAACATGCGTTCCAATATGATTATCCTTGGTCTTTCAACACACATGAGTCCCCAATATGATTATCCTTCGTCTTTCAACGCACATGCGTACCAATAAGATTATCCTTGGTCTTTCAACGCACATGCGTTCCAATATGATTATCCTTGGTCTTACAACACACATGCAACACAACATGATTATCCTTGGTCTTTCAACACACATGCGTCCCAATATGATTATCCTTGGTCTTACAACACACATGCAATGCAACATGATTATCCTTGGTCTTTCAACACACATGCGTCCCAATAAGATTATCCTTGGTCTTTCAGCACACATGAGTACCAATATGAGTATCCTTGGTCTTTCAACACACATGCGTTCCAATATGATTATCCTTGGTCTTTCAACACATATGCAACGCAACATGATTATCAATGGTCTGTCAACACACATGCGACACAACATGATTATCCTTGGTCTTTTAACACACATGCGTCCCAATAAGATTATCCGTGGTCCTTCAACACACATGCAATGCAACATGATTATCCTTGGTCTTTTAACACACATGCGTCCCAATATGATTACCCTTGGTCTTTCAACACACATGCGTCCCAATATGATTATCCTTGGTCTTTCAACACACATGCGTCCCAATAAGATTATCCGTGGTCCTTCAACACACATGCAATGCAACATGATTATCCTTGGTCTTTTAACACACATGCGTCCCAATATGATTACCCTTGGTCTTTCAACAGACATGCGTCCCAATATGATTATCCTTGGTCTTTCAACACACATGCGTACCAATATGATTATCTTTGGTCTTTCAACACACATGCAACGTAACATGATTATCTTTGGTATTTCAACACGTGCGTTCTTTTAGTGGTAAACGTCTGATAGTAGCATCACTGTTGGCGTTTCTCCAATGATGCTTAGGACGATGAAAAACAAGCCAGTCACTCACTCATTGTTTTATGGGCATTCTTGAAGTCGTTGAGGCAATAATAAAGCAACGAAACGTCCCTCTTTGCAATTAACAAGAAGTTGCTTTCCATAAAGTCGCGTACTTCATTATTCACTCACTCACACACTCACAGTGAGGGAACCTTAAAGGTTAACCAGCTTAGGTGAACTGGAAGTACTGTTATGTGTACAAGTTCTATTTCAAGGGCGGGTTTTGATCTGTCATCATAAACTTAACCCTCCACCGTTAATTAGTTTTATAATGAATTGATCGCATAGCATTACTGCAACCATATTACGTCGAAAGATACTATGTGGTGACCAAAACCAGTCTTCCAACAAAAGGATCATTGTTCCTTGTGTGGAATGGGTTTCCGCCGTTTAAATCTACCTGGGCCTAGATTTTCGAAGCTCTCCTAGCGCTAAGATAGTCGTAAGTGCCATACATACGTATACATTAACATTAACTTACGACTATCTTAGCGTTAAGAGAGCTTCGACAAAAATCTAGGCCCAGGTTTATACAACTGCCATATTCAGTGGAATTACTTACCTGTTAACACATTCCAATTCCAAACAATGTCAAATTATTCTGTGAATGCTTTCCATTTCAGATATTAAAACACAGGAGGGAAATATGTCAATGATCCTTGCTGTCGTCTTCACTTTGGTGATAGCGTTGGCGGTAATACTCTGTGTCGTCGTTGTGTGTTGCTACAGGTATTTAGAATACTTTAATGTCCTGTTTCTTAAGGACAGATGTCCGCACCTAGCAATATTCCGGCTATATGGCGGAGGTCTGTTAAGAATCGAGTCTGGACCAGACAATCCAGTGATCAACATCATGAGCATCGAATCTTTCTCTTTGTCATAGGTTTCATTGTCAGCGTCGTGATTGTCATTGTGCTCGTCATTATATATATGTATATATATACATGACGAGCACAATGATAATATATATATGTAACTGTCATTGTCGAGTGAGTGAGTGAGTTTAGTTTGACGCCGCTTTTAGCACTATTCCAGTAATATCACGGCGGGGGACAGCAGAAAAGGGCTTCACACATTGTACCAATGTGGGGAATCGAACCCGGGTCTAAGGCGTGATGAGCGAACGCTTTAACCACTAGATGGTCGACAATTACAAACCTTCTCAGCGGTGTTTAACATTCAACTGGACATTGTTGCGTTTTGTTTGTCACAGAAGAAGGAGGGAGAGAATAAATAGAAACTCAAGCGATAGGATCCTGGATCCGCTCGACGATGGAGATCCTTTCTCAAGAGGTGGGTCGGGAAGTATGATTTCTTAACTAAAGGAAAATATGACATAAATGTATTCCTAAGTACACACGACTTCATGTCATTCAATACAGAGAGGTTACCAGCGCCATGGTCGAAATGATATAGTACATTTAAATATTCATCATTGATATGGCACTCGATTTGACTGTTTATTGGTCTGCATTATTAGGAATAAAAGGTATTTAAAATAGATACAAAATTTAGGGGGTTATGTTTTGTCTTAATTTGTTCATGTCTCGAGTGTTGGTGCTTCATCATATATTTGGTTGTTGGGTGATTCAATGTTCTTCATTGCCTCTACTATCAGCAGTACTTGAGCTTAAACTGCGTCAAGTTCTAAATCAAGTAATTAGTGAGTGAGTGAGTGTGTATGGCGTTACGCCGCCTTTAGCCACATTCCAGCAATATCATGGTGGGGGACACCAGAAATGGCGTTCACACATTGTACCCATGTGGGGAATCGAACTCGGGTCTTTGGCGTGACGAGCGAACGCTTTAACCATCAGGCTACCCCACTGCATTTATTAAGTAATTACCAGGCACTCACTGATTGCAGGCGTTACTAACAAACCACACTGTCTCTATGATGTAGGGGTACATGGGGTTAGAGGTGATGCTGGTTACTTAGTTGATACCAAGGTATCATAAATAAATTATTGATAACAATAAAACATGCCGGTTGTTGATCTGCCGCTTTTGCTCCACAGCTGCTAATGGCAAGGTTCCTATAGCCTTTCAAAACCAGATCTACAACACAGGTGAGTGTGCCAACCAACGGTTTCGTAATGACGTCATGATATGATAATGATGATCCTGAGTGTGTCACCTAGCGGTTTGGAAATGACGTCATGATATGACGATGATGATCATAAGTGTGCCAACTAGCGGTCTGATGATGACGTCATAATATGATGATGATGATGACCATGAGTGTGCCACCTAGCGGTTTGGTAATGACGTCGTAATATGATGATGATGATCCTGAGTGTGTCACCGATTGGTTTGGTAATGACGTCATAATATGATGATGATGATGATCATGGGTGTGCCACCTGGCGGTTTGGTAATGACGTCATATGATGATGGTGATGATGATCGATTCTTTGACAATGGTGGCAATTACTCTTATGATGATGAATGTAATTGCAAGTACGACACACATTGATCACCCTATTTCAATAATAATAATGGTCATAACAAAAACAATAATTTTCACTATCATTGTTAGTTATATCGTAAGTATTATCAGATTAAGTTTTTCTTATATAATAACCTTTTGTTGTTTGTGTGTGAAACAGAAGTTTCCGCTACAACTTAAACCTTGTGTTGTGTTGGCGATTCTGTGCGAAATTTAAACTGTTGCGTGGCACGGTGATACTTTATGAGTAGGGGTGGGTATTGCAGAGATTTTCATATTGCGATATATTGCGATGCGAAAGCATGTATTGCGATATGTATTGCAATATATTGCATGAAGTATTTTTAAACAAAAAACTACTTATAATCGAGTTAATTCTTGATTTATAGAGCAAATACACAACAAAATCACTAGGCTTGATAAAGCTTTAATAACAACTTTTAATCATGATTAACTAAAAATGTGAATAATATTTGGCACAAATGAAACAAGGACATATCCGAACATTTCCGAGTGTTACGAAGTTTTCCGAATGCAAGTCAAAATACCGGTTTTCGATCAGCGTATCGCAATATGTATCGTTTTCATGTCTGAACCGGTAAATACCGGTAAACCGGTTTTATTGCGCAGCCCTATTTATGAGTGATATGAATTACAATACCCGTAATGATAACGATGATAATATTACGGACAAGTTAAACGTCTCTGTGTATTCCAGCTGGACGCGGTAGCGTGTTATCTGTGCAGTCTGAAAACACTAAGCACCGCAGTGACCTCTTGTCCCAACTGGACCCAGTCCCGGACACCGAGTCCTCATCTCTCGGCTTCAGCACCACGTCAAACACCACGGGGACGTCAGCCTTGACCCCGTCTAGGGTTCAGGCGATCACCACAGATGAAGACGGTTTTGACATTGAATCTGTCAATTCAGAGTTCAATTGGCCGAGCGAGGACAACACTTCAACGGCTTTCTCTGTGTATGAGATTAACGAACACATTGAACTGAAAATGGCGGCTGGAGGATTTGAAAACGAATTTTCGGTATGTGATGCACTCACTGTATGTTTGTTTGACAATTGTTTCATTTTCGGTATATTATGATGTGTTTGTTCGTTAAACGCTTGTATTTAGTCACATCAAAATGTTAAAAAAATGAATTTACAAATCAAACACCTTTTTATATAAACCACAAAATATTTTTTGTACATTTCATTTTGTTATTACGCACAGCTTCTTCCAAATGGGTTAAGGAAGTCCCATGCTATTGGTCTACTTCCTGAAAACCAATCCAAAAACAGATATCCAAGAGTGTTACCATGTAAGTACTGCTCATCTCCTACAGGGCCCGTGCGAGTAATGACAATCCACATCTTGGCAATGTGTTATGTAGCTCTTTGAAGTTTCGAATAATACGGTACCCTAAAATATTACGATGAAATAATGTTTTTTACACTCTGTATTTCCCAAGCTTGCAAATCCCACTTATCTTAGTTTAATGTGACATTTCTCGAACTTAATTCTGACGTGACCTTTCAGACGATGACTGCAGAGTGGTTTTATCACAAAGTGATGGTACAGACGGGTCAAGCTATATCAACGCCAGTCACATAGACGTGAGTGTGCACACGCAGATAACTGTACATACCTGACTTGTATCATAACTAATCCAAGATATGGTCAAACAGAAATGTATGAATGGAGTTTTCAGTTGCCAGAACCAACTTTGACAGTTCGAGACAAAAGGGTAAATTTGTACTTATTAGGGCTTTTGGGGACCCTAAAATGAGTTCGACACAACCGGGAATTCGACATATCAAGTTCGAGACATCAGGGTAAATATAATGATAAATATAAAGATATCGGCAGGGACCGAAAGATGAGTTCGTCTCAACCGAGTTCGAGACATTGGGGTTCGACTGTATAATGAAAACGTTAAGTAAATGTTTGGTGTGTTGTTTCTGAACAGCAAGTTTTATCCCGTTCAGACATGGTGGCCAGTCACTTTGTAAAAATAACTCGTTCTGTCAAAGTTACCAAAGACATATTCACCATTACTCAATTGACACTTGGCTCAATTATGGCTGTAATTACGACGCCATCTTGTATTGTCGATTGATGATAAATGTCAAAGAAGATATTGGTTGTTTGGTTGTTGTTTAACGCAGCACTCAGCAATAATCCAGCTATATGGCGGCGGTCTGTAAATAATCGAGTTTGGACCAGACAATCCACTGATCAACATCATGAGCATCGACCTACGCAATTGGGATACGATGACATGTGTCAACCAAGTCAGCGAGCCTGACCACCCGATCCTGTTAGTCTTTCGACAAGCATGGGTTGCTGAAGATCAATTCCAACCCGGATCATCACGAGTCCCAAGAAGATGGAATACCAAGAAGTGTAGTTGTGTTTGTATTTTTTCAGGGATACACAATCATGGAAGAGTATATAGCTACGCAAGGTAGGAAAGACAATGTTAAAGATTTATTGTATAAACTGACGTATGGAAGAGAGTACACACTTGTTTTGATGATCAATTTTTAAAAACCCAGCATTTTGCAAAGTTTTTTCATTTTGACTTACAAGTCACAAACCTTGAGTTAACTTTCTCATATGAAAAGATAAATCGAGCTTACAGAATTATTTACATGTGTCGTTGTATACGTGTTATAGAAAGATTGCCCCTTTCATTCAGGTCCAACAGCAGAAACTGTAAACGACTTTTGGAGAATGTTGTGGGAGAGGAATGTCTGCAAAGTGGTCATGTTGGGTAGAACCAAAGAGAATGGCAAGGTAGATATATATTTTAATGATGCTTTGGTTTGAAATATTTATTCCGAGAATGGAACATTAATCCTATCCAAATGACTAAAATGGACATTTAGGCGGTGTATCTTTCAACTGAAGGTGGGATTGCAAAAGGAATTATATTAAAGAAAACAAATATCCGTTTTCTAAAATTTGAATTTGTATGAAAACTCATGTGTATGTGTATGCTGGAACCATTTTGTTATATCATAAATGTTGTGATCGTGATTTACGAAATTTGTAGAGCGATTTTGTGCCTTCCTTTTTTGGTGGTGTAATATATGTTTTGTTTCGTTTCAGAAAAAATTAATCGTAATTTATAATACCATGTTTGTTCGTTCATTCGTTAGTTCGTTAATTCGTTTGTTACTAGTCTAACGCACGCAGAAGTATTGAACTATGACGTGAAAATAATCCAGTCTGGATCAAACAATCCGGTGATTGATAATATGAATATTCGGGTACCGTGACTCTTTGTTAACCAATTCACCAATTTAGGTCCATTTATCGCCTATTACGACCAATGTAGGGTGCTGGGGACATGTTTCAAGCCGAGAGCCTGTAATTCATTTTTACATTACATCAAAAGACTCTTTTAGTGGTCGCACATTGTCAAGACCAAGACGTATGTATTCATACGCACGCAGATTCGTATTATTAAATGAAAAAGTAAACAGTGCAACAACAATGAACAAATACAATAAAAGGGTGTCCTTCGCAGAAAGTGAAATTCATGATTAGCATATTGTTTTTAGTTTCAACAAAATCAGTAAACGTCCTATGGAATCACTTGACCGTCTGGTCAGGACTCGTCTATGCCATCACTAGACTCTTAATTTATTTGGCAAATTATATGAGTGGAGAGTACATCAGGCAGATCAGAACATACTTCCGGGAACACCTGGTTTCAACACTGCTATTGGGGCCCCATTCATCTCTTATACTTAACGCTCAATGGCTTCCACGAACAATCAAGACTGTTTGTGTTCTGGCGTGGACGGTTTAGTTTTGGTCGTACGTACATTTCAGGTGAAGTGTCAGAAGTACTGGCCTGACATCAAAGATGGGAAGACGTACGGAAACCTCTCTGTGACGTGTATCAAGATGGTGAGCCGAGCTCATTACACCGTCAGGGAGTTCTACGTCTACGACCACCAGGTAGGCACAACCTCTATTACAATCGGGTATGTCATTTCTGTGATACAGATGATGACACTACCATCAATAAGTATTAACATCGGGTATGTCAATCATGTCAAATTGACAATACATCAATATCTCATACCATCGGGTATGTCAATTCAGTGACACTAACAATGACATCAATATCTGCTACATCGGGTATGTCAATTCAGTGACACTAACAATAACATCAATATCTACCACTACCGAGAATGTCAATCCCGACAATGACATACTATCTATACTACCATCGGGTATGCTATGCCGTTGATACTGATAACGCCATCAATATTTGCTACCATCGGGTATGTCAATCCTATGATACTGCCAATGACATCAACATCTCATACCATTGGGTATGTCACCCTCGTAATTCAAACAATACCATCAATATATAGTACCATCGGGTATGTCAATCCTGTGATACTGACAATAACATCAATATCTCATTCCATCGGGTATGTCACCCTCGTTATTCAGACAATACCATCGATATATAGTACCATGATGTATGTCAAACCTGTGATACTGACAATAACATCAATATCTCATACCATCGGGTATGTCACCCTCGTTATTCAGACAATACCATCGATATATAGTTCCATGATGTATGTCAATGCTGTGATACTTAAAATGCCACTAATGTTTTCGAACATTATGACCAGGGAGGTCGGCTGATTCTGACCTTCCTGATCAGGGCCCCGATCCACAAAGCGTTCGTAACATTACGACCTGTCGTAACTCTATAGTTTATCATAGAACTACGAATGTCGTAGAGGTACGAACGTTTTGTGGATCGGGACCCAGGAAGGTGAAACCTTTGTTGCTAACAATGGTACCAATGTTCCAACACTGAAATGTAGGTCAAACCTTCGATGCTGATAATGAGACCAATTTCAGCTACTTGTAATTATTACCTCAAGGATATCACAAGACGACATTTCTACGTCATTACTGAACGTTTTCTTCAACGACGATAACCTATTGGTATCATCTCGCCACACACAGGAACATTGTTCTTGCATATTGAAACAAATCATACAATATTAAATTTGGTTGTGTTCAAGGCTGCAGAGAAACGCGTGGTGACACAGTTCCAGTTCGCGTCCTGGCTAGCAGATGACTTTCCATCAACTCCTGCTCTCGTCGGCTTTATCAAACACGTCAACAAGCTGGCCAGTCCTACCTGTCCAGTGGTGGTACATTGCAGGTAAACAACATCCCTTGGCGACAGCATTTGTTACTCTTTATAACACATTCGTCACAACTAAACCGGGTCAGTAACCCATGCTTGTCGAAAAAGGCGACTAACGGGAGCGGGTGGTCAGACTAGCTGACTTGGTTGACACATGTCTCGTATCCCAATTGCGTAGATCGATGCTCATGCTGTTGATCACGGGATTGTTTGGTCCAGACTCGATTATTTACAGACTGCCGCCATATAGTTGGAATATTGCTAAGTGCGGCCTAAAACTAAACTCACTCACTCAATTCACTTTTTATCTGTAACTATCGTCAACGACAATATACTCTGCATATTCGTCTCTGTCATATTCAAGATTTAGAAATGGTTACAGAAGTCTTGTCCTTCCTTTATCGCATTAATGATAATATAAATATTGCTATTATTATATATTATATAGTTTTATAGTACACATGTGGCTGACATTTTCAAATTTGATGCGTTAGTGATTCAAAGGGTCAAATGAAAATCCCCATTTTAGCCTGAACCCGTGTTTGTTCATGTGAATACTTGCCTTGTCTTTGCATGAGTTTATGACAGATGCAACATGCACTGCAGGATACGCTCACGTTATAACGAATCATCACAAGGAGTGATATTTGTTTATTGGAGATTTCTATTCATAAACACAGTGATATCTTGAGTCATTTCCAAACAGGGAAACAGTAGTGTGCTACCCGCCCTCCGGGTTGACGATCTATCCACTTGACCAGCGGTCCTGAATGTTGATAACAAAATAGTTGTTCTTGTAATTTCTGAATATTTCTAATAAAAGCACGTTTCAAAGCTCCTACCAGATGATTCTGATAGCAATCAAACTTTACTACCCCTGTAGTTCTGGTGTCGGACGAACAGGAACCTTCATTGCTATAAACGCCATGGTGGAACAAGCACGGGCGGAACCGGAAGTGGACGTCTTCAAGTTTGTGTGCAGAATGAGGCTACACAGACCGGAAATGGTCCGAACCAGGGTATGTCACTGGTTAAGATTTAGATATGGCCGTTGCAATTGGTTTGTGAGTTCCCTTTAAACCAGCAAAATATAACACAGACAAGTTTATAGTAGTCAATTCTGTATTGATTAAACAATGAGCATGGTTACAATGAATGACAGTACAGATTTCTAATACAATACTATTGGGTCCCAGATCTAAAATATTAACTAAATGTCTACAGTTTCCGGAGTCTTAGTTCTTGTCAATGTACTGATTGAAGATTGTAAACGGCTGGTGAAAATATGTAGACGAGGCTTGGTGAACGGTTGGTCTTGAAACGTCGATGTTAGCAGACAGATGATCGTAAATCCAAAGCAGTCCTCAACGTCGTGCCGAACATCTCAGCAACCAGTTGTCAATACCTTTTATACAGTTCTGGACTTTTGTAGCAGTAGCTACTCCTCACTACGACATTTTAGATCGCACTACCAACTTCTCAGCACTTCGATAATCAATAAAGTAAAGAGGAGGTAACTCTCACCTACCCTCGACAGGTGAAATTACACAGCCTAAGTCCCAGGCGCGAGTTCAAACTGAAACTCAGCGCTTTGAGCCTTTGTGACTCACAATAGTTGAGAGTTGAGTTTTACGCCGCACTCAGCAATATTCCAGCCATATGGGGGTGACAAACAGTCTAAGTAAAGTTAGCCTCAGTATTATTCGTTACCCTACTATACTGAGGGTAGTATAGTAGGGTAACGAATAATACTGAGGCTAAGTTTACTTAGACTGGGGAGACACAATAACTAAAAGTTAATCCATGTGGCATTCTAATCAACAAAAACACACATTCTCATAACACACGCAACAAAAAAATGTATCCCAAAATAAAAATATACAGAATTTTAAATTTCAAAAAGCATAATAACAGTTTACCCACCATCGTGAGTTCGAATTTAGATCCTATATGTGTGCCGTGTGTTTAATCAAAGCAACGTGTACAGCCCGAGTTACTTTTCTCCAGGGGCTGCGGGGTAGCCTAGCAGTCGAAGTATTCGCTCGTCACACCGAAGAAATTGTTCGATTCCCCACATGGGTTCAATGTGTGAAACCCATTTCTGTGATATTGATTGCTAAGCTAAAAGCGGCGTAAAACTAACCTCACTCACTTACTCTTTTTCCTTCACTATCAAAGTTGAAACTATGTAATGCAACAGAAGTGACACCCACCCACCCAGCCAACCTCACTCACTCACTAACTCTCTCACTTATTCATCCAACCAACCAAGCCACTCACTCACATTTGTCTACCCCCAGGTGCAGTATGCCGGTGTCCACCTGGCCCTACAGGAGATGTTGGCCAGCAAGGACACTCTCCTCAGCAGCGCGGAGCTCATGGAGAAGTACCGGACACAGTCCTTCCGATCTCTGTCAGCCAGTAGTCGCCCACGGGTCGAGTACCAGGTGAGCCACGCTTTGTCCTCCATGGGCATCGATGCCAGCGTTGCGTTGCATCTGTACATGGAATAAATTAGTCGGTTGATGAAGGCCATAGGCACTTGGGTCCGCACATTGCAGCCCATTGAAGGGATTGGATGCCATATTGTCTTAGGAAGTCCAGTGTTGCTCTGGCAGTGTGGGAAGATGTGATTTATGCGACGTTCAAAATGTGGTACAACGTGCGGTCTTATGACTTGGTCAGTATAGCGAGCAGCTGTCACGACATTTCTTCGTTCTGGACCGTGATTCTGGAACAGCACGGGGCCAACTCTCTGGTTCAAATCGATTGCACCTCACACCATGATGCCTGGACCACCCCACGAGTCTCTTTCAACAATACACGCATTGGAAAATCGTTCCCCAATGCCTTCGCATACTCTCACTCTGCTATCGGCTGTCGAAACACAATATCGGCTTTCATCAAAAAAAGCACACTTCTCCATTGTCGATAACGTCAATTTCGATGCTGAGTTGCCCATTGAAGTCGGTTTGGGTGGTAACGAGCGGTGAGAACTGGGCCACGACATGGTCTGTGACAGCACAGGTTTCTTTCGCGCAAACGTCGACGCACTTTATCGGCACTAATGGGTCTCTTGTGAGTCCCAGTGGTCGTGCGAGCTGTTTCCGTGGCCCTGTTGATTGCGCACAATCTGTCGGTCTTGACGTTGTGATGTTACTGCAGGTCGTCCACTGCGTAGACGGTCTGGGATGCTGTTAGTGGCGTGTTACCTTTTCTGCAGTCGTTAGATTGTCCTAACATGAACATTAAAATGATTGGCTACCCTCTGTGCAGCCTGGAAAGCTTGCAACCGCCCCAAGGCTTGGTTCTTCTCATCTCTCGTGGCGATTGTGTCAACACAAGAATGATTTCAGGCGAGTTTGAGACTCGCTTTCATTGCTAGGGTTGTCACGATCTGCACGTGCATTTTCATTTTTACGAATGCCATACGGAACCTGTTACCACGTCTGTCTTTTTAGATACGTTTGGTCGATATGCTTTCTCATCAGAAAACACACTGATGTTGGTAATAACTGTCAATTGGGATTGAAAATCATGTTAACAAAACGGTACAATCACAATGAAAGCACCACCTTGTAGGAACAAAATTTGGTTTTGAAAAGTCGCGTTTCTTTTGCGGTTCAGTGATGTGTTAGCGAATGTTGTATCTATGTGTAAAAATAAAACGAAAAAACTTGGATGTGTCCATATTATCATCCATAAACTATTGTAAAGAAATAAAGTTTTAATACACACACGCACACGCACACGCACACGCACACGCACACACACACACAATCAAACAAACAAAACATATTTTTTTCTTTGATTTCTTGGTCTATTTTGCATGTTGGTTTTGGGGTTTCTTTTGGTTTTCGTTGTTTAATTTGGTTTGGTTTGTCTGTGTGTTTTTGTAATGTATTATAATAAATTAAAGTTCGTATCTTCACTTTCAGGTTCTAGAAAGTATGCGACCTACGCTGAGTGAAGAAGACACTCAGTTTGCCCGGAGACAAGAAAATGTTGAGAAAAACAGATCAATGAATATCCTGCCAGGTACGTTTATTACACACCTGTCAAAGTACTTGCAGTCCGTTTGATTTCATTTGAGACAGATGAATTGCTCACTAACACAAAATCTAATAATTGCAACAAAACCAAATTTTGCACAGTCACATGAAATCGACAGACCAACTCTGATGATTTGTCTCATAATTTTGGACACCCGAATCAAAAAGTTGTTTAACAAACATTATTTTGCTGTCACTTTTCGCTATTTTCACGAGGGGTACCACTTGCTGGTAGAACAGCCAGGTAATCAACAAGCGTGTATAGTGAAATTTCAATTTCACACGTGTAACTCGCACACCTCGTTTAAACAACTTTTTTATTCGAGTCGTCAATCTTGATGGAATGTAAACGGAAAGGTGTCGTGTCAATGTCTTATTCTGTAGAATGTCCGAAATCTATGAGCAGTGGTTCTAATCCCGCTTTCATCCGCATGCTGTTTCCATGTTACCAAAATGATCGTGAGTGTAGCTGAAATTCGGTTCAAAGCTCAGTCATTCAGTGTCAAACCGTGAGATCAAATAATGTTGAACACCGTGATATATGAGAAATACTGTCCAACACCGTGATATAACTAAAAAAAACAGTTACTCTTCAACTTTGTTATAACATATAATACTGTTTAACACCATCATATAACTTTAAAACAGTTACTGTTCAACTTTGTTATAGCATTATACTGTTCAACACCGTGATATAACTTATATAACTGTCCGACCCCCGTGATATAACTGCGATACTGTTCAACACCGTGATATAACTTTTAATATTATTTGACACCGGGATGTAACGTTTAATACTATTAGAAACCGTGATGTAACAGAAATATTGTTAAACAACTTGATAAATAAAGTTATCTATTTATCTTAATGGAATGTAAACGGAAAGACTGTGTCAGTGTCAATACTGATATAAATGAAATACTGTTCAACACCGTGATACCTAAATACTGTGACAGTTTAAGGGGCGGTGGGGTAGCCTAATGGTTAAAGCGTTGGCTCGTCACGCCGAAGACCCGGGTTCGAATCCCCACATGGGTACATTGTGTGAAGCCCATTTCTGGTGTCCCCCGCTGTGATGTTGCTGGAATATTGCTAAAAGCGGCGTAAAACCAAACTCCGTCAGTCAGTCAGTCTGGTGTCCCCCGCCGTGAAGTTGCTGGAATATTGCTAAAAGCGGCGTAAAACCAAATTCAGTCAGTCAGTCAGTCTGGTGTCCCCCGCCGTGAAGTTGCTGGAATATTGCTAAAAGCGGCGTAAAACCAAATTCAGTCAGTCAGTCAGTCTGGTGTCCCCCACCGTGAAGTTGCTGGAATATTGCTAAAAGCGGCGTAAAACCAAACTCCGTCAGTCAGTCAGTCTGGTGTCCCCCGCCGTGAAGTTGCTGGAATATTGCTAAAAGCGGCGTAAAACCAAACTCCGTCAGTCAGTCAGTCTGGTGTCCCCCGCCGTGAAGTTGCTGGAATATTGCTAAAAGCGGCGTAAAACCAAACTCAGTCAGTCAGTCAGTCTGGTGTCCCCCGCCGTGAAGTTGCTGGAATATTGCTAAAAGCGGCGTAAAACCAAACTCCGTCAGTCAGTCTGGTGTCCCCCGCCGTGAAGTTGCTGGAATATTGCTAAAAGCGGCGTAAAACCAAACTCAGTCAGTCAGTGTGACAGTTCAACATGTACACTGACATACAACTAAAAAGGTTTCTGTTCAACGCTGTGTTGCCACAATATATTATTTTTATATAACTCCCCATTCCGTGATAAACCTTAAAATACGATTCGACGCCGTAATATAACTTGTAACACTGTCCAACCCAATGTTATTACTGAATCACTGTTCGCCTTCGTATATATGACATACTGTCAACTCCGTGATAAAACGTAAAATACCGTTCAACAGCAAAATATAGCTCAATCTGTTGAACACTTTCTCAAATACTTTAATTTCAAAGCAGTCTTAAACCAATCTCTCTATGCAGATTGGTAGCTGACAACTACATGTAGTTACAAGCCTATTCCAAATTTTGCATATTGGATACTTCTTTCGTGAATAACCTCTTTGGAGGAATTTACTGTGGTGTAAATCAAGAGGAAGTTTCATTTTTAAGTTAGACTTCGTATCATGTCGTTCTACCATCAGGTGGTCTTACTTTCGAAATTTTAACGCTGATAACAATGTCCCAGTTTGTACAAGGTCTGTACCACCAGTTTGGTTGTTTGCCTGCAGTTGAACATTGTTCCCTGTAGATCCCTAACAGTTCACCACGACGGAGATGCCCAGCCCGTGGGATTTAAACCCCAGACCTCGTTGTCCGAAGTGAGCGTCTAACCACTGAGCTACATCTCGTCCCCTTTAGACAGTGAAACCTAGAGCGTAGATTGTATAAACACAGTTTCATATATTCATTAAGTTGACATATCAGTGGAAATTCAGTACAACAGTGTAGTTATTGGTTAGTTGGTTGATGAAACTAATACAAACAGAAAATGGTTATTCCACAGTGATGGATTTGAGTAAGATAGCTGTATCCACGTCAGATCCATATGTGTAGTTTCTTTTGTCCGTCAGTTTACTTTCCTAAGCGATTCTAACCCAACGCTTTTATGAACTGTTTCCCATACGTTTCCATTACTTTAATCGATCACCCGTGAAGGTCCGGGTTAGAATGTGCCTTCAGTAACCCATGCTTGTCGTAAGAGGTGACTAACGGAATCGGGTGGCCAGGCTCTTTGGCTTGGTTGTCACGTGTCATCGTATACCAAGATGCTCATGCTGTTGGTCACTGGATTGTCTAGTCCAGACTCCATTATTTACAGACCGCCGCCGTACAGCTGGAATATTGCTGAGTGCGGTGTAAAACTAAACTCACTCACTCACTACTTTAATCAATCACGTTGACTGTGTCTACTTTCTGCTAGGCGTCCTACATCGTGTACTTTTGAAAGGGACGACAAGAAACCCAAACCCGTACATCAACGCTGTGTACCTACCGGTAAGATGTACCAAGCTCATCATCAATAATTATGCCTCACTTAATTTTACGATAAAAAAATGGCTTGTTTACGTGTAGAATTCATGACCTTGACCGTGACCTTGGCTATGGCAGTCATGAGTGGTTCGCGGTTATGTTTCTTGGGTGCTGGTGATACCCGTGGAGACCCGGGTTAGAATTGGTCTTCAGCAACCCATGCTTGTCTTAAGAGGCGACAAACTCATTCACAAGTCTTCATTATGTACAACTGTATCGTTGGTATGCTCCGATCATGATGCTAGATTGTTTCGTGTTCCCACCAATTCAAAGACACGTGAAGATCCGGATTAGAATTGATCTTCAGCAACCCATGCTTGTCGTAAGAGGCGACTAACGGAATCGGGTGGTCAGGTTCGCTGACCTGGTTGACACATGTCATCGTATCCCAATTGCGTAGATCGGTGCTCATGCTGTTGATCACTGGATTGTCTGGTCCAGACTCGATTATTTACAATGACCATATAGCTGGAATATTGCTAAAAGCGGCGTAAAACCATACTCACTCACTTTCCCACTTATTCTTGTACATTGGGTTGTTCCAGTCAGTGCTACACCGTCGGGGCTTCATCGTGACCCAGCAGCCTCTGTTCCACAGTGTAGAACAGTTCTGGACCTTGGTTCAGGAGCAGGAGTCGGTGACCATTGTATCTCTCACTCCCCCTGATCTCAACCCCGTCGACTTGAAGGTATGTATACTCAGTCATCACTTCGTCCAAAACTTGGTTAAGGCTGACATCATTGGCTCAGTTCGCAGACAAATGTATTTGGTTTACATATTTCCATCGACATTGTTACGATATTACAAAACATTCATCCTGGATTGTCGATTGTATCCAAATTACATGTAGTATGTCCAATACCATGGAACCCGTTCCCCAAAGCGAGCGTAGCGCTACGATTGATTTACGGTAAAGTATGGAGGTTACGGTCGTCTTAGAGTAGCAATAGCTTTGTTATATCTCTAAGGCCATACACAAAATAATGTTGTTTCTCATTACCGCCCGGCCCAAACATTCGGCCCGACCCTAAGATTTTTTTTCATTTTTATTCACCAGAGAAAATGCAAATTTGACTCTCAAAATGTGCATAAATTTTACACTTCTAAGTTTTGATTTTCTTTCGGAGAAAAGGTGTAAATTTCCACCACAGAAGCCAAGAGTTTTTCGACAATGAAATTGAAATAAATTGTAAAAATAAAGTCCGCCCGCCCGACCCATATTTTTTTCAAAAGTGATGAGAAACAAGAATATATTTTTATGTGGCCTAACATACCACAGCATTGTCCTTCTTTTGGGAGTAACCTCTGTGGTTAGTGTCATCATTCTGTGTAAGAGTCATCATTTAAATGTATCATAACACAAAACTGTGGATTCACTGGATAATCTATCATAGATAAAACAATGTTAGTGATAGACAGGTATTTTATTTCCGTCATCTTCTTCATCGAAGAAATATTTTCCGATTAATGATAATAAAAATATATAAATGTGGTTAAACAAATTGAAAATGCACTTCCGACGTTACCTCAGCCATCAAGGTCCCCTGTAACATTCAAATTACATATATCCGTTATCTCTTAAACTTCATTGAAATAAGGTTTGAACTGATAACATATGATTATCGGGTCATTGCGTTTCCTTAATAAGTAAGATATACATGTTCCAGGACTATGGCGAATATATGCCTCTGAGGGAAGGTGAGGCATTGTCGGTTGGAAAGTTTGATGTTCTGTTGAAGTCTACCGTCAACACGAGGGAGGAAATCCCAGAGAAAACTCTCATCTTGCGAACTAAGGGCGAGGTAGGAACCAACAAACATTGTCACATCTCCAGAATGTTATATCCATATAGATTCATAGATCTAACTTCATGCATCATGACCGGACAGTTTCGTACGGACATGCTTATATGCATGTGCAAATACGCACAACTATTAACCGAATGATATCCTTAGAACCTCCCAGTTATATTTGGTTTAACGTCATCAGTCTTCGTATGGAATCCCCTGAAGAGGTCTGTAGCAATAGGAGGCGTTTGCGTTTGGTCAAACTGACATACAAATCTAGTAAAATGACTACGATGTATATCAAATGAAAGAGACTTAAAGACAAGTAATACCATTTATTTGCGAACGTGGTTTTGTGAATCTTGCATACATCGTAAGGGTTGTTTCCGGTGAGAACGGGACGATTGGGTAGCCTAGTGGTTAAAGCACTCGCCTGTCACGCCGAAGACACAGGTTTTGATTCGTCACATGGGTACAATCTGTGAAGCCCATTTCTGGTGCCCCCCGCCATCATACTGCTGGAATATTGCTAAAAGCGGCGTAAAACCAATCTCACTCATGTTCTGGTATTCCTCAGGATGACTTTACCCCAAGCCGTCACGTCAAGGTCTTCAGTGTACCCGACTGGTCAGCGAATGAGGATATTCCCTCCAATAAGTTGGTTCTTCTGTTGCTCCTGGAGATGCTGGTCAAGCGGCAGAAGGACGCTGGACTGCACCCAATTATCGTCCACTGCTTGTAAGTTCGTGTGTGCCAATCTTCATGGTACAGAGTGATCGGATCCCTCACACGCGGAGATGTTCAAGTGTGTTGGTTAGAATTATCACGATATTTAACAATGAATGGATGAGTTGATGGATTGTTGGGTGGATTGATCGATTGATGAGTAGATGAATGGGTGGATCATCATTGACAGGTACAAACGTACTGAACATAATCTAAATAGGTAAAGTTTTCTAAAAAATAACCGTTTTAATTGTCTTGCTAATTTTGGAACTTGGTAAAAAGCACATTCATACGTCTTTTCTCGAGTAGAAGAGGTTCTGTCAATTACTGGACGCCGTATATTATTTGAGTATGGTGTCCAAAAAACAATATTCAGTTATTCAGTCGCTAATTCACCTGTAAACGATACGAGAACAGCCAGTTTCTATCACACACCAAAACAGATTTACCTGACGTAGAAGACGAAAACCTGTTGGCTTTTCTCACATAAATTTGCTGATGACACCAGCCAGGTATTAAGCTGTTTCAATTTCAGGGATGGTGCTAGCCGAAGTGGTTTATTCTGTGCCGTGTCCAACATCATCAGCCGGTTAAAGATGGACAAGGAGGTGGACATCTTCCTGATTGTCCGCGAGTTGCAGTGTATAAGGCCGGCCATCATTACTTCCTCTGTGAGTGCCAATGAGAATCTTGCAGGATGACTGACAAACAAAGCTAATGGAGAATACCTGTTACCTTTTCCGTGTGATTGGATGTTGAAAAGCATCCATCTTACTGTTGTAACAGCTACTAACGTACTGTGTTGCCAGTTTATGCTCAGATGTTACACCGTTCTGTTTATTTGTTGCTAAATGACGCTGCGGTCAGCAATAATCCAGCAATATAACAACGGTCTGTAAATAATCAGCAATAATCCAGCTACATGGCAACGGTCTGTAAATAATCAGCAATAATCCAGCTACATGGCAACGGTCTGTAAATAATCAGCAATAATCCAGCTACATGGCAACGGTCTGTAAATAATCAGCAATAATCGAGCTATATGGCAACGGTCTGTAAATAATCCAGCTATATGGCAACGGTCTGTATATAATCAGCAATAATCGAGCTATATGGCAACGGTCTGTATATAATCAGCAATAATCGAGCTATATGGCAACGGTCTGTAAATAATCAGCAATAATCCAGCTATATGGCAACGGTCTGTAAATAATCGAGCTATATGGCAACGGTCTGTATATAATCAGCAATAATCGAGCTATATGGCAACGGTCTGTATATAATCAGCAATAATCGAGCTATATGGCAACGGTCTGTAAATAATGAGCAATAATCCAGCTATATGGCAACGGTCTGTAAATAATCAGCAATAATCGAGCTATATGGCAACGGTCTGTAAATAATGTGCAATAATCGAGCTATATGGCAACGGTCTGTAAATAATCGAGTTGGATATGGTGCATAGTTGGATACGATGACGTGTAAAAGTCCACCTGACCACCCGATACCGTTAGTCGCCTCTTACGACAAGCATGGGTTGCTGAAGACCAATTTTAATCCGGATCCTCACGAGTTTATACCATTCTGGCGTGTACTGACGTATACCATTGACTTATTGTTGATTGTCATTATCTGAAGACATAAAATAAAAGAAAGCATGCAATGCAGTCTGTCAAAAATGATTGACTATCCATAAGATAGCGAAGACTGACTTGATTTAAAACTAGATAAAATGAAAGTAAAAATGCAATGTACTTTGCCTAAATATATAACGCATCGTTAGAGAGTTTCTTTATTTAATGTTTATGTGTAAAGGGAACAAGTTGACAACGTATCATACATTTTTCGTTCCGGCAGTTTTACTATTCTTTGAGTGTCTAATTATTAATAAAAAATTAAAAAAATTAAATATAACTCATTTACGCATAATTATAAACTCATGTAGCCTTATGTGTCTATTTCAGAGCCAGTACACTTTCTGCTTCGAAGTTGCAAGGAATTATCTGAAAAATCCTGAACCCCTGGCATAACATGAGCATCACTGCTGGGTCTCACCGGCTTTCTCAGTGGAGGAATCAGTGGGGTGGGGATATACACACTCGTGCAATCTCACCCGCCCAAACCAGATGAACAAGGTTCACCGACACAGAGTGAAATGGACACATTGAATTGCACTTTATTTATTAGTCATAGTAGAAGTATATTGTGTAATATGAATTTCATCAGCATTGCAGAAGTTTTAATATCATTGTTGTTTTCAGGAGAATACCGGCGTGTGCCAATTGGATGCTTGTGGAGTGAGGGTTAAGACAGTATATTGAAAGATGAAAAATAATGCTGAAATATTTGACTTAAGTATTTAATGTAATTTATTTGATTTCATATTTTAAATTGTCATATTAAGTTTACGTTTAACACAATATAACATAGGTTATGTGTGCCAAACAAGTTATGTAAGTGTAAGAACATATTCAGCATTAGATAATAACAAAACGAACTTGAACCTGACAATGTGAAACTACACAGAGACATCCTATATCAGTGTTGTCTGGGGGGGACGAGTTCTTGATGCTTGAATTGTCGCTTGACTATAATATAGTTCTCAGTTTGTGCTAGCCAACTTGGTTGAAGTTAGCCGCATACACATCATATATGATGATCTTTTAATTACACATGTATACTGGACTACGTTGCAAAGGTCACGCAGGTGGTCGAGAAAAGGAAATAATATGTGTATAAATATGAAGGAATAAGCATGTGACAAACATGTGTATTTAAACCACATTCTCCCAGTCACATATCTCAGAATATGTATTTCCCATCTCTGTACAAGAAAAGTGTGCCATACTTTAAGGAGAGAAGTTTTATATTGTATGCAATGTTTCATGACTTTAATTCATCACAGTATCTGATTGACTGTATACGTAGCTTGGAAATTTGGAGATGTTAAAGCACTGCTAAATTTTCTGGTGACATTATTTGGGGTCAAGTATTACAATTATGTCGCGATTTTGTACTCAAACCGTTATACCCTTTACACAGAAGTGATCCAGATTTACATGATCTCAAAAGCTTTGGGTTTAGGGCATTGTGTGATACGTTAAGTGACGTTTATACCTTTTGTACTTCATAGCCCAGTGTGCTATTCTTTGAACTGACGTATTTGGCTATGGTTGAAGACACATTAAGAACTTGATAGTGAGTGAGTGAGTGAGTATGGTTTTACGCCGCTTTTTAGCACTATTCCAGCAATATCACGGCGGGGGACACCAGAAATGGGCTTCACACATTGTACCCATGTGGGGAATCGAACCCGGGTCTTCGGCGTGACGAGCGAACGCTTTAACCACTAGGCTAATTAACCCATCGCCCCAAGAACTTGATAGACATATACATATACTGAGAGAAACAGGTAAAGCTTTGAATAGCGTTGTGGTGATGAAAACTGAAAAATATTAATGGAACGCTGGAATTTTACTGTGATCCTTTATTTGTTTCTCTCAATATATATAAAGGTGCAGTTGCAGGAACAACAGAGCGAGACCAATCAACTGATGCCTTTTATCCTAATAAAATACTTTGTCATTCTTCCTCTGTTATCTAATCTTTAATTTAGTGTACTGGTAAACACTGTATTTCATCTATAGTATTGAGAAACCTATTTTGTCTTGGACAGAGATATGACGGCATTAAAAGCATATTCTCTGTGTGTATTGATTCTGCAAAATATCCAGCATTACGTTTCTGTTTTTGGGAAACTACAAGTGTAAAATGTACCCATTCGCGTTTGTTTAGATATGCAGTATATTTTACTCCTCAGATGTAAGATGTTTGATTATATGTTTAAAATAGAGGTAATTAGAAGCATTTGTACTTTCGATATGGTGATGTCATGATATTAAACTGTTGTAAATACTTTATTGACATTTCGTGTTTTGATTAAGGAAACTATAAGACACTGTTTCAACTTGTATTTGAGTATGTCATAAGATGACACGATACCGAAGGACCCGTGAAGGTCCGGGTTAGAATGAACTTTCAGTATCCAATGCTTGTAGTAAGAGGCGACTAACGGGATCGGGTGGTTAGGCTCGCTGACTTGGTTGACACATGTCATGGGTTCCCAATTGCGCAGATCGATCCTCATGCGGTTGATCACTGGATTGTCTGGTCCAGACTCGATTATTTACAGACCGCCGCCATATAGCTGGAATATTGCTGAGTGCGGCGTAAAACTAAACTCACTCACTCACCCGAAGGATCGAACTCATGACACCGGGTTTTTTTGTGACCAGAAAAGATGAAGAAATATATTTAATGGATACCATCCAATCTACAAACTATGACAACACCAGGAGCGACTACCATGCGCAAACGTTTGTTGAAACATTGAAGTTTAAGAATTAAAATGCGAGGTTGATTTAAAACGGGAAACTTTTAACACGATGTCAATATGTCATCTCTCTTGTAACTTTACAGATCTACAACAGTAGCGTCACATGTGCTATAAATTCGTGCATTCGAACATATTCAGCGTGTTTATTGTTAGTTTCAAATTTCTTGTAATCAACCAGCGCCTCATACCATGGAACATATAGTTTCTACTTGTGTGTATCCATCGGAGCGGAAGACTGGAACTCACCTGAAAGGCAGTATGATATGTCAGTTCAATAATTTCATCCCTTCCATCAATCGTTTCATTTTGAAATATTACTGAAGAAATCATGAATACTGGCCAGAGTGTTAAAGATTACCGAAGAAATCATGTATACTGGCCAGAGTGTTAAAGATTACTGAAGAAATCATGTATACTGGCCAGAGTGTTAAAGATTACTGAAGAAATCATGTATACTGGCCAGAGTGTTAAAGATTACTGAAGAAATCATGTATACTGGCCAGAGTGTTAAAGATTACTGAAGAAATCATATATACTGGCCAGAGTGTTAAAGATTACCGAAGAAATCATGTATACTGGCCAGAGTGTTAAAGATTACCAAAAAGATTAAAGAAATCATGTATACTGGCCAGAGTGTTAAAGATTACCGAATAGAGTGTAAAGATTACCGAAGAAATTACTGAAGAAATCATGTATACTGGCCAGAGTGTTAAAGATTACCGAAGAAATCATGTATACTGGCCAGAGTGTTAAAGATTACCGAAGAAATCATGTATACTGGCCAGTGTGTTAAAGATTACCGAAGAAATCATGTATACTGGCCAGAGTGTTAAAGATTACTGAAGAAATCATGTATACTGGCCAGAGTGTTAAAGATTACTGAGGCCTAAAATAATGTTGTGGTTCCGATTACCCGACCGACCCTTGAATTCTGGTGCCGACCCTATCTTTTTAGGCGGTATGAATAAAATAAGCTTTCAGGTACCATTGTTTTTCCCCGTCATCGACATACATCGGTCACTCTGATAGAGAAAGTCGACATGATGGCCGCAAGCTTGATTGAATAAACAAACAATTACACATTGATAAATGTGTTATTAGTTTGGACTTTACTTCTAAACAAATTTAAAAACAAAATACCTTCCTACCTACCCTAAATTTCAATGTGGTGTAATCGGAACCACAACATTTTTTTATTTGGCCTGAATAAATCGTGTATACTGGCCAGAGTGTTAAAGATTACTGAAGAAATCGTGTATAGTGGCCAACGTGTAAAACCTTGTTGAAGAAATCGTGTATACTGGCCATAGTGTTAAAGAATACTGAAGAAATCGTGTATACTGGCCAACTTGTTAAACATTGTTGAAGAAATCGTGTAGGCCAGTGTGTTGAAGTTTATTGAAGAAATCGTGTACAATGGCCGAGGTGGTACATATTATTGAAAACATCATGTATGGCGGCCAAAATGTGAAAGATTACTGCATACACTTGTGCAGTTTATAACAGAGTTCATTCACCAATATAGTGGTGACGCCAAATGAATATCCGTGCAAAAAACAAAACAAACCTGAATTAACAATAACATAACAATTTAGAATTGATACCAACAAGCTGTAAGTTGTGCCAGTAGATTAATTCAGTATCTTACCTAAACCCGGAGAACCCTGAGGGCCAATTCCAGTGACGGAGCTCACTGGAGTTACAAGCATCCTGTTTAAAACAAGACGCATATTTAATCAGCCATCATACCCGAGTTCCAACTCATTGCAAGAATCAAACGTGCTACAGATGTACTGAGCTTCACAAAATGTCGTTTTCAACTTGTCATGAGTACGAGACATCATATAAATATATACTGACGTGCAAAAGAAACTTTCTCTAACCCAAATTGACATATTTTTGACATAATAGGAAAATAATCAGGTGCGTGTTTACTTATCGGCACCGTATGAAACAGGAGTTTGTATTTTGGGAACGAGTGCGACCAAACGCACCAAAAGTCAACTTTTGTAGGGAGATTTGCGAAAATTACGTGTTGTGCAATAAAGGCAAAATGCACGTGCGGAAAGGGTATATAAAACCATTGTATGCGACAGGTGGGCGCGTGACATTACAGAAAACCACAAAAGAAATGCCGCGTTTAAGTTCAGCAGAACGAGAAAGGGCTATAGGAATGCTACAGTTTGGGGCTACAACTGGTCAGGTTGCTGCAACGTTTGGTTGCTCCGTAGTTACTGCCAGGAACCTTCGCCAACGCTTCAATCAGACTGGTCAGACATCGAACAGGCCACGAACAGGCAGACCCCGGGTAACAACAGGAGCGGAAGACCGGCATCTGCGGACGTTGCATTTGCGGAACCGCTTCCTGACGGTGACGGCATCTTCGGCAACGGCACTCAGTCACCCCGTGAGTCGATGGACAGTAACAAGAAGACTTCGTGCCCATGGTATCGGATGTTATCGACCATACCGGGGTACGCTGCTAACGGATAGACATCGTCAGTTGAGACTACGCTGGGCCAGACAGGTCAGACGTTGGCAGCTACGAGACTGGCGTAGGGTACTGTTTTCTGACAAAAGCAGATTCTGTCTATGGAGGCCCGACGGAGGATATACAGGAAGAGAGGTGAAAGAACAGCTCGTTGTTGTGTTTAGGACTCGGAGCCGTATGGTGGCGTAGCGTCATAGTCTGGGGTGCCATATGCGGCGACCAGTAATCTGACTGCACAACGGTATATCGATGAGGTGCTGAGGAAAATAACCTTTATCGTAAGTTCAATACAATTCTGAGATTTAATTAGTGTTCAATTGGCAAGGTAAATTTTATGAGGATTCTCAATCTTAATTTCACTTTATCTGATTTACTTTTGTGTTTAAAGTGAAATTCATCGGTACGTTTTTATTGCAAACAAACTATACATATACTATATACTTCATCAAACAATCTTCTAGTGCATTAACTCCCCCACACTTCATAATAATAAGATCAGATTGAGCATGCGCATGAAAAGCAATGTTCTCATGTATTGGGTACCTACCGTGTTTTCTTATTTTTACACACAGCCATTAGTAGTCCGAATGCTCCAAGAAACAGCAACAAGCCATAACCACCCCTCATAACCCAGATCTCGGTGTTCCTGTGGGATAGGACTGTAGAACAAACACTGACGCTCCTTCCAGATCCATCCCGGTGATCCTTTCCTCTAGCGCAGCCAGAACTACCGTCGTCACAACTGTCAGTCCCATCACCACCACCTCGGGAAGGTCTTGTTCCCTGAGTGTCAACTGTTCCACCTATTCCACCTCGTCCACTAAATCTACCCGCACTATCAGTACCTGATACATCGGCACGTCCATCCCCATCGGCTTTACTTTTGCCGCCACCCGTACCCGATACACCATCAGTACCAATTCCATCGATTCCTCCATGACCAACTCTCGATTCATGTATATCTCTTCCACTCGAACCTGATACACCTGCATGTCCAGTTCCAATCACTCCAGCTCTGACATAACCTCCCATTCCTGCTGCTCCACCCAAGCCGGACCCCAAAGCGTCAATCAATCCTCCTCTCATTCCTGCTCTCCCACCTTCTCGAGTTCCATCACCAACTCCTGTACCTGCAATGCCTACTCCCCCAGCCGAACCAGGTCTCACGGAACCTGCAGTTCCCACTCCCATTCCTACAGCTGCACCTGCTCCAGCTCCATTACTAACTCCCATTCCTGCTGCTGGTCTCATGGAACCTGCAGTTCCCACTCCCATTCCTACAGCTGCACCTGCTCGAGCTCCATTACCA